TACTATGACTGTGGGCTCGAGATAAAACTAGATAAATTCACACAATAAATGCTTTGTACCTCTATGAATTTACCAACATAGTCTTTTCTATTCCCTTACACAAACACTCCCACATCCAAACACCACTCCTCCTACAGTACCTGGTAGATGAAGCAGACGGTTGGGGCCTGGCAGCCGTACAGGAAGTGAACATCAATAACCTGCAGTTCCTCCAGTCTGATGTTGAAAGCCTTGAGCTCACGGTTGTCCCGGTCCAATGGGATCACCTTGAACAAACCGTCATACAGCCGCAGGCCGATCATACGGCACTCTGGATCTACAATTCCGATAATACCTGTCTCTGATGGACGCCCAATACGATCCTGCAAAAGATTATTTGGTTTGGAAGGTTTAAGGTTTTAATGTATTCTGTACCTAAGAATTGCACAACTTGGCTGATATAGCAAAACAACAACACTGAAATGTTTCGAAAAACATTCTTTCCCAATTTAAATCACAGCATATTCTATTAACAAGTGCAAAATGGGACTGTGCACAGCACTTGGCTAAATGTAGACAGTATAACTTAAGTCTCATTAATGAGGACAGATATCAAGAGTGGTGCATTGAACTAAAGTTAATGAGAGAAAGTCAAAATACATACTGTTCTTCAAATGAACAAACAATAAGACCGAAACACCTTAAATTCATGATTTTTTTTCATGACATTACCATACAGTGAATTTCAAGAATGATATTTGTGCTGCTGTCTCACCCACCTGGACATTGCCATGGGCACGGGTGATGATGTCAATGCTCTCTCCGTTCTGTTTGTATTCTAGGATGCAGGCGTTGTACTTGGATGTGAGAATGAACAGAAGGTCTTTGCTCTCACCCTGGCACGAATGGAAAAAAGACACCAAAACCATCAAAGACCAAACATGCAAAGGCCAGATTTCCAATTTAATCAAACTGGCTCACCACTATAGGCCATCAGCCATCTGATTTACCGCCACCAGCCTAATTAGTAGGGATAGACCTTACCAGTTCATGAATTCACTTTACAGTCACCAGCAAATATTCCACTGGGGTTATGTATTTTTGGCTATAATAATAACTAATGTTTGGGATGTGTCTGTTTTTTTCCTCTTTAACTTTCAGTGATAAAAGGTAATTAGGGCATGTCTATGAGGTACAACATTTGTGTGACATCACCTCCTTTTTCTGATAATAAAAAAAAAGCATTTATGGATTAATAAACACAAAGATGACTAAGGAACAAAATAGACCAGAAATATATTTTTGCACTTTCTGCCCCGTGCCTTGAGAAGAAATGGATATGCATTCTATCTAAAATAACAAGGTTTATTATCGAGTTAGCCAAGTAACTTACACCACGGTGCAATCACAAATACATTGATCTTCAGTGACAATTAGTAGTTGACCAGTTGTTCCACAGCACACCAACTAGTTCATTTTAAGAAACTGTTACACACTGCTACCAATCTCACACCCTCAAAACACATACCTTTGGCCTGAAGAGCTCCATGACAGCAATCTTTCCATACATGCCCACTTCCTTGACGGGCCGCAGCCCCTCTGCTGTGACCACATAGATCTCCAATCTTGTGTTTTTTGCTATGAGCAGATTCAGGTCCTCCGCAGAGGTGAAGTGACCTGTAGATGCACCAACATTTATAACGTTATTATTACACTGTTGTTTAGGTGATAGTAGCTGAGGAAAATACGACAAACAAATGAAAAGTGGATGAATATCAGTGATGGGACTGGAGAGATATCCCAACAACATCGAAAAATCCCAGTTTTCTTGATAGTGTGGCGATATTAAACATTTCAAATTTAAATCTATATCACTATAATATTTTGTGAATTACGATGAAGGCCGGTAGAGAAGCATTTTCATACAGAGATATAGATGGAGAATGCAACCTATTTATAATCACATCATTAGTATCGAAGGGAATTCTGTTAAAAAGTTCAAGGAAGGTGAAGTTAAAACATCTAATGTGTAGCTACATGTCAAATTCTAAGCGTAATGTTACATAGAAGTAAAATGCATTATTATTATTGGTGGGCAACATACCGGATGAACCGGTATACCGGTTTTAATTTACCGCTGCACAGCTGAAAACAACTCTTCAATAGGCAGCAGCAATATTGTTTTAGGCACAAAGAGCGCTACAGTCGGAGCAAGCTGTGTAGTGTATTGAGAGGGGAGCCCTGTTAACTGCGTACCCTTCTTATTGATGGTTATAACCTACAACTAACTCTCTTTAACAGGGCAAAACACCATTATGCAAAAAAAAGTGTAACAATTTGTTTTTTTACTTAGTAAGCCCTTAACACTAACACTTAAACAACTATTTCAAAGCATATTAGCGATGTTAAAATTGTTGGTATATCTTTTTAAGTTCTGTTTTTACAACTTTTCAGTTTGCACAATACAAATTGTTTACATTCTGATTCCTCCATATATTGTATCATTTTGTGGGGCCAAGAAAACCCTATAATAACCAAAGCCCTCAGTATATATGATGTTGTTCATACTTCATGTGTTGTATTTATATATTATATGTGCTCCTGACAGTAGTATAAGCCACTATAAACCTACAGTGTTAGGCCCAGTCATGATATTAACTGCCTGATTTTATTTTTTTTAAATATATGATATTCGTTTTAGGTCATACCGACCAGAACTGTTGTTATAATCATTATTATTATCATTATTATAACTTTTATTTAAACAGGAAGGACCAATCTCTCTTTTAAAGGACACCCTGATTGCAGTATGAAACAGTCATACAAGAAAGTTAACAAATCATACAACAAACAGGCCAAGGACATGATCGTAAGGAACCATATCAACTCAAGGACAACACATGATGCCTTCACACAGCACTTTATAGGCCTGTCATAAGGGATTGGACTTTATTAAAAGGGATTAACTTGTCTTATTTTACAAGCTCCTGCAGAATGATAAACTCGTGTGGAGCATAGCCCGTTTATGTTCATCTCGGTATCAACATGGTGATTATCGAGGACCAAATAGTGTTGGGACCTCGTGCAATGTGAAACAGGGTAATATTGACTCAACAATGCCACCAAAGTCTTGGTTTCGGTATCTTTTTACGCATCCTGTATTTTTGTGGGCCCACACACGTTAGGACGAACCACGACACCAGATTTCTGATCAGGTTTCCAAGAGAGGAACTATTTACAGAAAATAAATAAATATAAAAACACTCTGGCTGCATGTTTCACACAGTTTGCCAAAGCTGTGTGGCGATAGGATCATGTTTGATAGCAAGACGAAAATGCATTTGATCTGCGGAGGGGTTGCGGAGGGGTTGGGGACGACAACAGCTAACGATCCAAAAAGAAGATCCGACGAAAGGTTGACCCGATCGTATGTGCGTTTGAACATAAAAAACGCGTGTGGCTTTTTGACTCGCACACAGAGAAGTGTGCCTTGACAAACAAGTAAACATTTGAGATAGCAAAAACAAGAGCTAGTGGCTACTACAGGCCCGTGTGGGGCTCTGTAGTTGCAGCGCGGGAGCTCAGCTAGCATGCAGGTGGCGAACGGCTCGTCGCTGCACAAAAACAAACGACAAACAGCGGATATTTACCTGTGATGCAGGCGTTGACTGCCGTTGGTTTCTGGGCCGTTACCACGTAGTTGTACGACATTTTTGACGACAACAAAAGACAAACACCTGAGTAGTGTTTTAATCTCCCAAAAGTGACAAAATCATTGATAATAAAAGTCCCGGAAGTAGTTAGCTGAGCCGTTTAGACATGGAGCGGAGCAAGGTGACGGCTGCTGACTCCGGGTTGGAGCGCCCCCTAGTGTCGAGGAGGGCTACATTACATTTACTCAAGTAACTACATTACATTTACTCAAGTAACTACATTACATTTACTCAAGTAACTAAATTATATTTACTCAGATAACGTTACCTAACGTTAAATACAATTTAGAGGAGTTGATAATTTCTGCAGCTTTTTACTTTTGTACTTTTGTTACTTTTGCTGTTGAAATTGCACTTTTTAATCCATTTTTTTTGACAGCTTATAGTTACAAATATTCAAAATACAATCAACAATTAAGTATATAAAGTAATTTATTTATTTTATATACTTCTGATTACTTATTATTATTATTATTTAACCATTCTCTATTTATCTGTACTTATTTCTGCTACCGTTACACCTGCAATTCCCCCCGTGGATCAATAAAGGCTTATCTTATCATTCCTGTATCTATATAAATAAAGATAACAGTAGTAAGTGAGACAGTGTGCTATTATTTTTATTTTATTTTTTATTCAAGCATGTCAAAAGTACAAAACAAAACCTTGGTCCAGTGAGAGGAGCTCGGTTAGACAGACACAATCACAACCTCACAATTTGAACAAACAAACAAATTTGCAATAACAGTGGCTTAAAAAAAAATGTGTAGTAGGACAACATCATTCATAGTAAGAAGCTGACTGAGAAAATAAGTTACATAAACAGTAAACTGTTGCAGAGCTCAATATCTCATTTATACAGCCCTGGATACAGCAGCATGATAAATGGTACTGTGTAGTGAATAAAGAGGAAAGTGAGTAGGACAGACTTCTATTTCTTACTTTTATCCAACATTAAAAGCTAAAACTACATAAATGTATTCCTCCTGCAGTGAAAAGTATTTGTAAAAGTTTCCTTTAACAACTTTCACCATTGATTAAGTGGAAAAAGACAGAAAGCAGGTGTCAGATCATGCAGTGGCAATGCAAGTTTAGCAGCAATAAAAGCAGAAATAACATAGAATATGATTTAATTTATTGTTATTTTGTTTTACTCCTGTGATGCTGATGTTCATTCATTATTTAATTCATCATTCATGTTTTTATACTGGCCTGAAAAGCATTTAGGAAATAACTGAATTATAGATATTACTGGTATATTTCAGATTGTACGTGAACTCACCACAGTGAGTATCACCGTTGCCGTGGGAACGAGACGGCGTAACTAACAGAAGACAGCAACCACGGTTGAAAACGGCAGCTAACGTTAACGTTACCGTTTGTCTGCACAATGGAGACACCTGACAGCACTGCGGGAACAGATTTAACTATAACAGTAACTGTCGTCCGTGGAAATAACCTGGTAAGCTCATTCAGCGTTAGTTAGTGTAACAAAAGTGATTCACTTTACACATGATAACTATTGTTAACTAACGTTAAGCTAAGTTAACGTCTAAACTGATGGAAGTGTTCTTAAAGGTCACTTAACTTAATATGAATGTGCGCTCTACCTTTTAGTTAGATAAAGTTAAATAAGAAAATAAACCAATATAGACCGAGCTGTTATAAAAACAACAGTTTTAAGCAACAGTATTATTTATGAATTATGACTGAATATTGCTTACAAGGTGTTAACTGATATAAACTGGTGCATAACGTTACATGTAGGTTTGTTTATGGTTGCGTTATGTTTCTTTATGTTTGTATTTATGTGAGACTGTTTATATTTATTTCAATAGCATTGATGGATATCTGGCAGGATAACGAGTAGGCTGAATGTATTTTTGGTTTGTTGTTGATGTTCCTCAGTAATCCCATGAGAGATGGATCATGTTACTAAATGATAAGACACAAAAAATAGAATTATTAACGTTAATTGATTCAATTGTCCTCCTTTCACAAAGACTTAGTTAGAGCTAAGACAGTTACAGAATTCATTTGCTGATGTTTCACTCAGTTGTTGTTGTCCTTTCCCTTGTTTGTATCTGTATTATTACATTCACCAGCGGGGAACGAGGAAAAATTTAAACGTAAAAGTGATGCATTTAATATGTTACTTTGTAATAACAAGTTGTCCAACGCACCAGTCTCAAAATTGCAGTACAATATTAGTGTAAATTGTCATCTAACAATCACCTCTGATCCTTTCTGTATCTTTGCCAAATGAGAAAACTCAACATAAGCTGATGTGTGTTTGCCCAGTTCTCCTCTCTATATATAACTTCAAACCTGTATTTTCAGATTATATACCATTGTCATTTTTCAGAGGCATCAAACCAAACAACCGATCAAAAAGCCATCCCACAGGTCCCATGAGGGCTTGGCAGCATACCAATGAGCCTAATGAGATTTGCTTTTATACATTACTAACATTGCCAGACAAGCTGAGAAGGCGTGTGGATGACAGCTTCCACCTAATGTTACATATTCTGTTTCTTCTCTTTTCAGCAAGGAAAAAAGGCAGACAGCTTACAGAGTTTTCTGGAGATTCAGTTGGATGGAACAGTGCTGGGAGAGTCAGACAAGAAGCTGTCTGAACCTGTGGAGCAGCATATTGACTATGACTTTACCTGCAGTTTCCACTACCCCAATGATGCTCAGGCTCTCAGTAACATCGCCCATAAACCGATCATACGTAAGCTGAGTGGTTCTGTTGTTCTGTCTCCTGATGTCTGACCTAACGGTCAGTTCAGCTAGTTGACTTCCTGCAAATTGGACATCAGCGTCTCTCTGATTGCCACACATACTTTAGCTGGTTATGTCTTCATGATCACCATACACCAACAGGAAATGCCACACCTCCTCATACAATTGAAGAATACCAACATCGTTTTAGGATGTTTGTGGACAGCAGGGGCAAAATTCATTATGGATGGCAGAGGGAGCATGGGATGAAAAGATTTAGGCTTTAACGTGATGTTAATATATTTATATAATTACGTGGGAAATGTCTCATATTGCATAATATTTTTACTAAGGTGAGAGTTGTGCCCTAAATTCAAAATAGTGCATTGATAACCAACTGACAAAATAAATTCCATTTCCATTACATTTCAGAAGACCTGGCTTAACTGTGAAAATAACCAGATTATACTTTAATTTTGTAGTTCACTTATGGCGATATTGATAATGTGAACCATCCAACACTTATTCTGTGCAGATATTCTGCCTTGGCACAGCAAGTCCATTCCCCATAAGTCTCTTAAAAAATTGAGTATACTGTCTTCTTAGTGCAGCTTAAACTGAAACAATGATCACTAAACATTGTAAAAACACTAATTTTCAAACTGCTGAATGAAAGCAGAGGGAGTTTTCATGCCAGTCCGTACAGCCCTCAGTTTTCACAGCACTGTTTAATGTGAATGGTTATGTTGTCAGTGACAGTGATAGAAGTCCTGCCTGAGGAGAAGAAAGTTGAGGCGAAGACAGCGGTGCTGGGCCAAGCTGTGGTCGACCTGCTGCCACTGCTACAAGGTACAGCTGTACCTGTAATTATGTCTTTTTGAATTGTAATAAAACAAAGCGGGTTCTCTCCACAGTCAGTTGCTTTATGTAGAGGTCAGGACAGCAGAAACGGACTTCGAAGAGCTTCCCTTACAGGGCAGGACTTTCATGTTGGAATGATTTTCTCTTCTGTCGTCAGGTCAGTGCAGCTTCTCGTCCACAGTCCCACTGAAACCAGTGACCAGCTCACCAGCCAAAGAGGTCCAGGACTCCAGTAGCAAGGTCGGTTGGTTAACGTCTTGACAATAATATCATTGTTATTGTTGGTGTCATAGCAATTTTGAATAACTGAGGTCACATCCTCATCCTGTATTTTTGAAGTTTACACAAGGTTATAGCAAAAGGTTCACATGATGTGTTCATTTATATTCCCTTCTACATTGACAAAAGATTATTATATGTGCATGAATTACTCACTAATGAGATGTGTTGGTAGTAGAGTTTTAATGGTTTCCATACTGTTGTTACTTTTCTAAGTGAAATTGATACTACTTGTCAAATTAATTATAGTTATCTATTATGAATTTAAATGTCATAAATGTTATTTCTAGTTTTCCTGTCAGTGTTTTGTGCTGAGTTCTGCCCTTGAATTTGTCTTCTTAATTCATCCATCCATTTAAACTATACCAGCAGCCAAGGCTGGATTACCAGTCGGGCTAAGCAGGAAACTCCCCATGGCCCTCAGACCCAAACACACTCTTCAAACACGCTTTGTGTCAGTTGGGCTGTTGTTGTTTTTTATCATTTATTTAATTGCACATTTCACCACAAAAATCCAAAATACATTATATTCTGGAAAAGGCAGGCATCCTATGAGAAAAAATACATACTAACTTGTTTTACTCACTAGACAGGGATTTAAAAACATTTTGCTGCTATCTGGTAAAATGTGGTTTAGTTTTGGGTTGGGCAATATGATAATATTTAGAGTGAGAAAATAGAGGTACTGTTGCTATTCCTTTAATGTTTCTGATATTTGATTTAGTGGATGAGCCATAAAGAGGCAAACACATGTGGTTATTTTATCTATAAATGGTTTCTCTATTAAGTCTCCGGAACATTTACCATTTCACAATATGTATTCTTGTAGAAAAAAACATTAATGCATAATATTAATACTTAATACATATACCGTGATGTCATATTTTATCCATATCTCCCACCCCTGGTATAGTTAATCCAGTGAGCTAGTGGTGTATGAGACCTTAAATAGATGGTAGTTGTTTCTTCTGATTCCTCTATCAGTGAATGTCTTACAATCACAGAGCAGCCGGAATGAGGAGACAGCAATTAAAGCCACACAGAAGTCACTGGTCAGCAAAGTCATTTTGAAGTGGAAGAGGAAGGTAATTCCATTTGTGCTCACTAGGGAGAATATTCAACCTGCAACATGTCACCATGAGACACCTTTTACTATCATATGAAAAAGCTCTCGTGGCTTTCTCATGTCATGGTCTTAGTGACCGGTTGCTCACCGTAGGTTGCAGTGCAGGTGTCTCAACAGTATGGAAATTCGGCATGTAATGGGTGCACAGTATGAAAAGAATTGAAAAAAAAAACCCAAAAAACAAAGAGATCAACTAATAGTAGTCACTCAGTTTCAATATTCACTCAGTGTAAGCTTTCAGGTCCAAAAAAGTAAATGACTCAATATTTTCCCAACAGTGTTTGCAATGGCGCTTAGAACCACAGGTAGGAAATTTAAAAATGGCATTTGCAGGCAATATAACAGTTTATAAATAAAACATGAATGTGCCTAATGATTTGACCCCCTTTAGCAGTCGACTCTGGATGTGTGTGTCAGTGTATCGGATCCAGTGCTGTCTGAGGCTGAACTCTCAGCCTCCAACCTGCTGAGGGTAACTGTGGAGACAGCCTATTCCGTCCCTGAGTCATGGATGCTGCTGTCTGGCCCTGGCCCTGCCCCCTGCACATACACTGCAGCCCTGGAGGTCCCACTTAGTGCAGAGGTGAGTGTTACACAGTGCCATTTAATGTAGTTTCTTTATGCCGTTTCACTGAACAGAACCAGTGACAATCACATAACATTTCATTTGAATGTTTAAGGCAAGTATAACATAACAGTATAACAAGCATTCCAAGAAAACAAAATTGTAGGGACATTTCAAGCCTTCATTATCTATGATTGTCATGCCGCAGAGTGGCTGTGTTATTCCTCTGACTCCCAGAAAGATCAGGTACTGGTGTTCTGTGAAGGGCAGCTGATGGCTGGAGGGCAGAGGGAGGAAATAGGCCGACAGAGGAAGAGGCCACATCAGGCCATGCTGGTCCCAGGGAACCATTTTCTGCCTGCTGCCTTTTTCCAGGCAGAGCCCATTGAACAGGAGGATGGTGAGCTGACTGGCTTAGAGGTAACTGCTAATGCAGCCTGCAATACTGCCAATCCTGTCTAATGCCTTGGTGCCTTGATAGATTTTGCAGTATGGCACATTACTGTCACCAACTGTCCATATATGGCATTGCGTGAAAGTGGAGGATGCCATAAAAATACCTTTCATTTGATAGACAGGCTTAAAGAGAATGCCAGTTATTTGATACAAAGGCTTAGTTAATGTATATCTAAAGTAGGAAAAGCAAATTGACCTTAGTAGCATATCTAATACTGTAGAAGATTGAAACATATAAAACATTTTACTCAGCATGGAAGGTCTGAGGCTGAAGGTCTAAATGCTCCAACAGGACCGGAGGTTTCGCACTGAGGCAGAGACCATGAAGAATAGGGTGAGCTGGGACACAGAGATGTGCTGCTTCGTGGATGCAGAAGGAATTAACAGGTCATCTGCACACACAACTCACTCTTCCTGACCATCATGCTACCTGTTGGCCATGACTTTTACGAGATTATTCCAGAAAGGGAAAATTTTCTTGGGGCTATGTCTTGAACTTTTCTACAAAATAACAACATTTCAGGAATATAGTTGAGTGTACTAAAATGTCTTTCACGCCAGATGGAAAGGAAATCTGTAAAAGTCTTTTGATCTTTTTACCGCGGGACCATACAATAAACCTAGGATTCTATGATCTGTGTAACACTGAAGTTAACAGGTTTAATGCTTGGAATAAAAGTCAGATCCTTGTGAATAAAACTACAGAATGCATATCAGTGAATTGCAGCACTGGGTGTGGAAATAGCACTAGCAGACAAAACAGAAAGAGAGATGCAGATTCAGAAAAACACATGAAAATATGTATATCAATGTCATTTCAGGCTGCGGTATAGGATCACTGAGAACAGACTCTGGCCAGTGGAGATTATGAGGTCGTCGGCTCCGCTGTCAAAGGCAGCAGAAACCAAGTTGGTGAGATGGCTTTGTTATCGAAGGACAGGTTCAGAAGGTTTTAACACCTGAAGCAAAGATCCATGACAGACTGGCAAGTTCATCCAGTCACACAGTGTGTTTGTGTGTGTTTGTGTGTGTTTGTGTGTAGCTAGCTGAGGAGAACCCAGAGATCCCCTTCCATGGCGTGGCATTTGTGGACATGGGCCGGCTGCTGTATCCTGGAGTCAACCGCATCCGAGGAGCATACAGCATTCAGCCTTTCTCTGAGGCTGAGTTGCTGCAAAAGGTCACTCAAATATGAAATATAAATATAAATAATTTGCTTTCATTTTGGTTCATTTATTTATTTCTTTTTTTTATCTAAGTCTATATTTAAAGGATCAAATATCATATAATGTCTACCAGGAATAACTTAAACACATATGGAATTCCATCTGCTTTTTAAAAAAAACAATCAATATCAGTTTGGTCTCAGTGAGTTCAGTAAAGTGATAAGTCATAGAATGCATACTGCACAGGCCTGCTGTGTCTTGTGTGAAACATGAATAAAGACCTCACTTAAAATACTCTACTAAATTAGCCTAATACTGGTCACATAGTGTGTTTACTGTAAAGCGCCTATTAAAGTGAGTTTGTCATTGATCTTGTTCTTAAAGGCCAATTCGAGTGTCAGTGTGTTAAAGGAGGAGGCCAAGGCTGCAGCCAACCTAGCCAAAGCCTGTGCTTCAGCTGCAGGCTCGCACAGGGGTAAGGCAGGGAAGAACTTGGACAAGGGAGCCAAGGATTCCAAGGAGCCAGCCAAAAAGGTCAGCAAGGTCCCGATGGTCAGAAGAGGTTCATTTTACATGGAAGTTTAATTAAAAAACCTTTCCCAGGCCTTGGAAAATCATATAAAACGTATACTGTAAAACAAGTTTTTGAATTTTCCAACCTGGGCAAAACCCAGTAGTTGATTTTATTTACCTCTCGAACAAATGATTTCACAGGATTTCAACAGCAGAAAAACAAATTTCTTTTATATTTTCACCAAACTGTAACCTTGGAAGTCTCAGTTTGTGTTTGTAAATTTTGGACCCTAATGTATCCTGTTTTCATTATGTCAGCAATCTGGCAATCAGAGCAGGATGGCTGGGGCTGGCAGTGTGACCGACAGCCTAACCGAAACTGAGCCAACGCAAGTCAATACGGAGGGAAATGTAAGCTTCCACTAAACAGCAACACAACTCAATACAGTAGTGCAGTCACAAACACAGTAGGCATCATTTACTGGAAACTGTGGTTGAAGTTATAGTTTAATACCTATGCAGTGACAGCAGCAGCAATTTAAGGTTACATTTCTGCAATACATCCTTAATACTGTAATACACTATAAACCTAGATCTAGATGCAATATTTTGGTAGGCCTTCAGCATTGTAACACCTCATTCCTGTTAATGACAGATGTATCTAGAGGCCAGAACTTATATTATCATTGAGATTGCCTTGGAGAAACCACTGGTACCCAAAACAACTCCAGAGGAGCTGGCCAGAAGGTAAAGTGCTATATAAATATATAAATTGTCTTCTGGTTACTACTGGTACTGAGTTTGACCTGGTTCTATTAGTTACACTGTCTTGCTAGATTGTGGCCCTGAGCTAAAACTTGTGAGCTATCAGAAAATGTTCGCTTCTGAAGTCAACTGGTTATTAAAATGAACTCAATTGCCCTCTGGTGTATTACGTTACCGTTGCTTCTTGGGTTTCTGGCTGACTGTGGAACACAAATGAGTGAAAATGTGCTAAGATGTGTCTCTGTTTCCTGCAGGGTGAAGGAGTTGATCCCACCCAGATCTCCACTTCCAACGGGTCCTAGCAGAGCAGAAAGAGTAAAACACAGACACAGATAGATATACATATACAGATAAATACACACAATATAACTACACACCAGTGGAGACTTGCTTACTTTCTAAATTCTCTCCACCATTTGTGCTCCTGCAGGCAGTGCTGGACTTCCACAAGCAGGTAGGCAACATGGTGACTCATGTTTCAGACCAGTATATGGAATTGTTTGGAGCAAGATGCAAGCCGTCAGGAGACTACAGCCAGGAGCAAATGAAGGTTCAGCTGATGGGAACGCTCAGTGTCTCTGCGAGATACTTTGCCTTCAAGGAACAGATGAAGGTCAGAACAACCGCACACATCCCTGGTAGATGGATAAAAGTAGAGGGAATCCTAATTTTTTGGAGAAGATCTGCAGCCCTGATTTTTCTCCTGGTGGTGGCTCTTCCATTACTATCTGACTTTATAAATACTGTGTTGTGTGTGTGTGTGTGTGTGTGTGTGTGTGTGTGTGTGTGTGTGTGTGTGTGTGTGTGTGTGTGTGTGTTTATGTTTCTGGTGTGTAGCATGCAGTGGTGAAGATTGTACGTGACACGATGCAGCAGACGGAGCCAATCACTGACCCTCAGGAGCTAAAGGTTTTTGTCAGCAAACTCTATGTTTACCTGGTGGATGAGATGCACATAGCGCTCAACAAGGTAACACACACACACACACACACACACATATATATATATACTACATATTTATGTTTGTATCCTCTCCTTCTAACTAGATTTATTCAGATGATGTTGACGATGACTCGCCAGATGAAATCCAGTTGAGTTCTTCTCAGCTCAGACATTTTGCCAGAGAGGCTCAGCTTACTGGGGATTATCAGCAGGCTGTTCAGTACTACCAAGAGGTGCAATAACATGCTCGCCTTTCCTAATACTTTTGCTCCTTACTCTGAATAAACGAGGGAACGAACTTGCTGTAAAACTTTTAACTATATTCATTTAAATGAATTAAACAGCAGGGTTGACAATCACAGATGTCAATGTATTCACTTTTCAGACCTATAAACCAAAATGCATGGCTATGACTGCTAAATTGTTTTGTTGATACAAATATGCCTTAATGTACACCCTGGCTTCTGTTTGTTTATTGCCATTGGAGAATATCAGTGTTTTTGTGTGTTTGTTGCATCAGGTGGCAGAGTCATGTTGCAGTAGTAATGCATTATGATCTCTATGCAGATAATGACTCTGGCTGGTAAAATAACTAAGGTAGCTACTGCATTTATTATTATTTTTTTTACAGCTAGTGGTAAGGTACCCCAGTGAGCCCTCCTACAAGTTTGAGTGGGGAAGCCTCTACATGCGGACCGGAGACTACATGAAGGCTAAAGAATGTTTTCATGACGCTGTGTCCATCCAACAGGCACACAAACCCAGGTCAGAAATGGTCCAGTTACATTGAAAACAAAACATATCTACAGGATATCAAACTGTACTTCAAGAAAATATAGAAACAGGTGATTCCTGCTTTGTGGGAGGGGGACCCATGAGCACTGAAAACCAGAATGTGTGTGCTGCACTGTATATCATGATTATATATCCATAACAGAGAATTAAATAGTTGTCAGGTGTCACAGGACACCACAAACATTTAGTTAGTTTTCTAGTTTACTGCTCCCAATCAGTGCTAAGCAACACAGCACTAACATAAATGGATAAACGCTCAAACTCATAAACTTTACTTTGTGTCTCTGAACTGGGAAGTCAAGACTTGTGTGTCTGTATCCTCTTGTCTCTCCAGCCTGATTATGTGTGGGGTCTTGGCAGCGATGTCTGAGCATTACAAGGAGGCCCAGACCTTCCTGGAGCGAGCCACCATCATAGACCCTCCCTCTGTGGTGGCCTGGACGCTGCTGGGTGAGATTAAATTGAATTGAATTAACCTGTGAACCTGCTGCCAACACAGAGCACATATAGACATATAGACACACAGAATGATATGATTAAACTGATGGATCCCAGAGTTTAACTTCATCATGTGGACAGGTATATCTGTCTTTAAAAGCTAATAACATTAAATTCATTTGTCATGTTTCATTATAGAGTAAGTTTTTGAAATTCTGGGAAAGTTGGAATAAAGTGGCAGAATACCTGATAATGAAAATACACAAGATATCATAAATCAGCACAGATATCAGCATTTGGCAACATTGGTTGAATAACATTCACATCTGCCTGACCCTAAATGACCCTGAGCAGTAAAGCAGGAGAGTTGCATGCTGGGAAATGTGTCGTCTCTCTTTCACGTTTCTGGGTCTGCGGTTCAGGTTTGCTCCATGAGAGCCAGAATGAATCCATCCTGTCTGAGAGTGCTTTTCTGGAGGCCAGAAGGCAGCTGTGGTCAAAAGAGGCAAAGAAACACACACAGATCAAGGAGGAGAAGAAAGACAAGGAGGAGAAGAAAGACAAGGAGAAACATCAGCAGGAGGAAGAGGAGATGACCATTCCTGCATGTCAGTCTCCCACTGTGAAGCAAGGTGAGATAAAGTTGGAGTAAAAGCAGTCAGAGAAGAAGAGTGTACTGTTTCTTTATTAATAATGATGTGTTAGTTTTTCATTTCGCCCTTCGGTGGATGGATCTGCAGTGTATCTATGTAAATATTTAATCTGTCAGGACAGAAAACCTAAAATGTAGATTAAAAGTAAGTACTGCCAATCTGTACACAGTTTAAATGCACTCTGTTGGCAAGACGTGTCTTATCTCTTACATCTGTCATACACCGACTGATGCTCTCAGTGCACTTCAGCCTGAAGGCCTGTGGCAGTGAATATAGCTTTCTGGAGCAGCCAATGCTACTGTCATCATGTTATCTTCATTCTCTTCTCCTAGACCCAGAATATGGAGACGAGGACTCAGGGGCACAGGAAGAACCTCCTGCACAAAGTATCAGCACCAAATCAGATCCAGCTAAGCTGTCCTGTACCATTTACACAGAGACGGCTCAGTTCCTGCTGCAGAACACTGCCTTGCAGGTAAAAACATTCATAGTGTCACTCACACTGGTAAAATATGAATGAAAACAACCTACAATTCATAGTTCTGCTGTAGTGTCATTATGTGACCCTCTGTTAAGTATAGGGGTAGGAAACCTGTGGCTCCGGAGCCACAGATGGCTCTTTAGCCCCTCTGCAGTGACTCCCCGTGGCTTTGACAAAAAATGATATGCAAATGAATAATGGTAATTTTATAACTGTTGTCAGATGGTGGAGCATGCGCTGTCCCAGGAGCTGCTGTGGTCAGACAGTGGTCGCAGTGTCTCCTATCTTCTTCATCTGGCCCAGTTGCAGCTGCTCAGAGCTGACTATTGCAGTGCCGGTGCCAGCCTCAAGGAGGTGCTGTTTCACAGCAGCCAGGTACTCACACTCTGACTACAGGCTGCAACAATGAGCAACTGTGTGGAAAATGTGACATGTATGGTTTACTGCTTCTGTTCTGCTCTATTATTCTGAGCTGTTTTGACGGCCACAGTCTGTAAGTTATACCATATTTAAAATGCAGCAAAGATTCACATTTAATTTGGGATTTATGAACTTCTTTGACCTCATTGTTGTTTGTGCAAGCTGACAAAGAGGACTAAGTAATATATATATATATATATATATATATATATATATGTATAGTAATATAATACGTATATTATTAAAGATCTTTACAGATTTCAAGATAAAATATGTAATCATCTGTGCTGGAGATTACTTTACCTTTACTAAGGATGTAGGGCATTACTGTTCCTAGTATCTACAATAACTGTACAGTTACTAGTCTATCAGACAACTGACTTTATTTTTTATTACCTTTAATTGCTTTATCAAAATGTATATGTAGGTCTGCAGTTGATTCTCCTGTGCTGCCTTGAAATTATGTCTGAAATATTACAATAGAAAGAGGAAATGGGTGAAGTTGACCAAGGAAGCATTTGGTCCCCAGATTTTAATGCCTCAGTGCTCCTCAACACATACCTGGATGTTTCCGAAGTAGTTTGATTATATTAAAGAGCAAAGTTATTGCAACTACGTAGAAATGTTACACCTTCCTTAATGACAAATCATTTTTGTTCCACAGTTTAGTGTGTGAAAAGCACTTAATACTATATTGTTGCTTTGCCACCAAATCCATAAATCAGAGTTCTAGCATATTTAGAACACTTTGTTGTTAATATGAAACAAAACATAATGCCATGGCTGTTAAATTGATTCAAATTGGTCCAAAATCTCAAGTTAGTTCATTAAAATTTTTGAAGTTCCATTAACACTGACAGCAAGAGGGAGTTAGTTACTGTTTCCTTCTGAAAGGCCTGTTGGTGAAGCCAGAAATGTACTCTTCCTTGACCGTGGTATGTTTGTGAATGAAATACTTTTTGTGAATCATTCTCTTAATTGGCTGTAGGGAACCAGTTCTTTTTGATTAAATAATATTTTTTTATTGGTTTTGACACCATAAGCCTGATTAAACTAGCATCTCTTCTGAACACTGACCTGAGAAGTGTTGTCTACGCTGTGAGCAGGATGCAGACGTGTGGGCTCTGAATGGTCACTGTCACTACCTGCAAGGGGCGTTCAGTGATGCCCAGGAGAGCTATGAGCGGAGCCTGAACTTCCTACGGCAGCCATCAGACTCCCACCTTGTCCTCCTCCGCCTGGGATCCATCTACCTCCAGCAAGAGAAGGTCAGGTATTGAGACAAGCTGATCTGATCAGTCAGACAGTTTACTCATGTGTACTGTATCTGATGATGAGTCAGGGGATTTCACCTGGTGCATTTCCAGGAGAGACTACGCATTTTCCCCCTCGTACAAGCTAGGCTCTCACACACCTTGGAAAAACTAGTCATAATAAGTTTTTTCTAAAATAGCAAAATTGGTCAAAAGGTCGTAAGGTACAATGAGCTTTTAATTTCAGCACAATTATGATTGAGTTGCTGTTGTATTTCTATATGTGAATGTGTATAACTGTATGAGAGTCATGCTGCTATAGAACAGACAGAAATGGTTACAGTTATTTTCAAGTTAAAGCACGGCATTATAATTGTAAAAACCTACAGTGTAACTAAATCTCTTATGTTTGTGTTTTTAACTTTCAGTTTGACCAAGCCAAAGCTATCTACCTGCAGGCTTGTGAGCAGTCTCCGTCCTGCCTGACCTGGCTGGGCCTGGGCACTGCCTGTTATCGGGTAAAGCTATACCTCCAGCACAAGAATAGTGATAAAAACTATGGCAATCTGAAATTTAAACCTGAATAATTCTGGTTTTGAAAGGTTTTTGAAACTCTTATTTACATGATGTATCTTGTGACATTATGGTGTTAGAGGCAGTTAACATTGGGGTTATTTCCTTAACAAAACTGCTGGGCAAACAAAATATTCTGTTCTCACAATGCGGTTGCAAGATTTAAGTACTGTCCTAATTCTAATGTGAACAGAAGCCAGGTTACTCTTGGATGTACTGTCGTAAGCCAACAAGTTGTAAACAAAACAGCTGTGGAGCTGATGGGATAGGATTTGGTTGTGTTTGTGTGTCTGTCTGTGTAGCTGGAGGAGCTGTGTATAGCTGAGGAAGCACTGACAGAGGCCAACCATTTGAACAACCAGAATGCAGAGGTGTGGGCTTACCTATCTCTGATCTGCCTCAGGGTGAGTGATGATGACACTCTGAAAACACACAAACCGCTCTGCCTCCTTTTACTTTTATATTTCAAGACATGATATGACACAATGACCCTGTCATATTCTTCAGTGACTCAACCACTTCAAGGTCTTGACCCTCATTTCCAAAGAAGGAAACACCTTTGTGAGCTACATCACCTCAGCAATGTACCCCCTGAATTGGGACACAGTTAAACACAGATTCACCTTTTCGCTGTCTAAAGCAGGCCGCAGAGACCTGAACTAACCTTGTAACAAACCTTTTGTTTTCAGTCTGGCAGACAAGAGGAAGCAGAGCAGTTTTATAAATATGCAACAAAGGTGAGTTAGTCTGGTGTTTTTATCAGTCATAGTGATTTAAAAAAATGGTGTTGGGAGTAGTTCTGGATTAATATTTATTATCAATAGTGCTGAAAAATCTACAGTCAAAAGGTTTTTTTAGTTTCTTTTGCTTTGTTGTCACAAACAAATCTAAGCCTTTGTATTTACTGTATTTATTCATTTTATCATAATATATTTATTTTACTAAATATGTCCCTCTTATCCAAGATCAATTTGAAAATCATATCAGTGTTTTCATTTCACATAAAGAAACCCCTATCTGATGAAAACCTTTCCTCTTTTCTTGGTGTACAGTTCAATCTGCAGAAGGAGTCACTCCTCAAAGAGTTCAATGAACTGAAGGATCAGCTCCGCTTCAGTCGGCTAGTGTCATGCTTCGGAACAAGCTCTGAAGCAGGGGTCTCAATGAAATGACCAAGTACATTTCACACACACAAACATGTTTACGTTGTGACATTTATTGTGAAATGAAACACAGCCGGCTCAGATGCACAAGTCATATTTTACAGAGGAGATCGGTAACTGGCCAAGCCATAAAAAAGTTAAACCCTGTTCAACTTCAACATTACAACAAACTCAAATACTCTTAAATTTGTATAAAACAACAACAAAAAAATGTACACCATTAACAAAAGAAAAGAAAAAGGGCATGTGGTGACTGGTATTATCAGATTATTTTTTAGAAAAACCATGATCTCACTTTTCATGTCATTTTTACCATCTGAACAGCAAAACAAGCCTGATGAAACATCCCAGCCTTGTTCTAAGCTACTTTTGGCACAATTTGCTTTGGAATTAAATGTTATGTGGAATATAATGTTCCTGTCGAATACATCTATAGTGCTGATGTTGCATTGAATGGATTTCTTATGTTAAATTAGCAAATTAGTGTTCGCAAAACGTGGTATTGGAAAATGCATTTCATATATATTTCCTGTACCTTTAAAATACACTGTTTTTGAAGTGGCTTATGTTTTCTCATTGTATGATTTCACATGCACACTTTATTGTACCAAATTTGCTTCTCATGTGTTTTTATTGTGCCATTTTTACACCAGTTCTAGACTCCGAGCCATCATGTGCTCTGTTGCAGTGGGATCACTGTCTGACCTGAGCAAACACTTCTCGCAGCCATGGTGAATCCTCATAGAGGCGAGGGTCACCCAGATACTCTGAGGTCCTCTTGTACAAGTAGTAGTACAACACGGAAGCTGTAAACAGAATAAAATATGTTACAAACATACAGAAAATACACTTTTCAATCAACTTTCAGGACTGTCACTGTCCTGTGTCGGCCAACCCAATAACTAACATGGGAAATTATGGCTTTTTATCTAAATTTTCAAATAAGAGACCATGTTAATATATTGTCTGTTTAACCCAGTTACTACAAACATGCAATTGCTGCATATTAACTTTCAATATTGTCTTGAAAATCAACTTGCAAATACTTCACATCCATCACATTGAGTCACTGCAGTTACAGTTCAGTGGAAATGCACTGCACACTTCCAATATCCATAACCAAAACAATGATAACTACATTTAAAAGATAACTGCATAAAAACATGACAAATGTCATTAGTGTATATACATATATTAATGCCCTGTTTTAGTTAGCATTAATCATTACCAATTTGCGTATGTTATGACTATGCACAATAATTAAGGTTAATTGAGAGATGATATGTAATTGTACATGGACGTTAGCATTGCAAAAACACACTCAGAAATGGGAAATTCCCACCAGCATTTACAACTATGTATAGGATCAGAAAAGTACAACTCAGCCCAGCTGAGTTTTCAGTGTCTTAAGGTTTGTTCATAATGAAAGAGATTTTGTGAACTGGTGACGTAACACTGAATCACACACTTAGTAACCGTATGGGTGGGTCTTAAGTAGCAGACAAAACAGAGAGACAAAACGTTTCTACACTCTGTACTCATACTTAATAAGGGATCACCTACAGAGAACAACAACTAGACAATAAATCCTTTATCCACTTATGAGCTTATACGTGTATGAAAGTCACACCCACATGGCGGTGTGAGATCACTTCCTGGAGCCTGCTGGTAGAGAGGAGGGAGGAACACACTCACTATAGGTGTGTGGGGAGGGTTACGCTACAGTTTACTTAGTCCTTCTATAAATTATGTTTAGACCTGAAAAGCAGCATTGACTCTCTTGTTAATATTTCTGCTCTAAGGGAAAATTACTTTTTTTTTAAGTCCTTAACATAGCTCTAGAGACAGTAATTTATATATATGCTTGTGTGGACAGATAAGATGAATAAATATATTTGGTCATCTTACCTGTTCTTTGGAACACAAAGAGAACCTGAAGGCCGTCTGTCCATATAAATCTGTTGGTGTTTAGCCAACGCAAATTCTGTAAAGATTATACAGAAAATATTAATCATTTTCTTGTGGTGCTTTTTAATAAAAAAGATGTTAAAAAAGGAACCAAAACACTAACATATGTATATTTACTCTATAAAACTATACTGATGGGACAAATTGACAAGTTAGACTAAAAAGGCTATAAATGACAAATTAAACATTTCACTGCTTGCAAATTTTCCAAGCCACATATTTCAATTTAGTCACATTTTTGTAGGATTTTGCTCCTAATACCTTTTTATAAATGAAGCATAAATATGTGAAATTAAAAAAGCATGCAGTGCATTTAGTTCATAACGTTATAACTTTAACTTCAGTTTAAAGTGCACATCACTCAGAGTCTCTGTGCACTTTACAAGTAAAAAACAACAACAACAGGGGAAGAGAATACCCCATTACATGTAAAAGGAATAAAGTAACATTTAGAAGGACTTAAATAACATCTCTGCCCATTTGGGCCCATACAGTACGTACCATAAGCCAGGAATGGAGTATGATACTGAGGGTCAAATAGAGAGCAGAGAGCATTAGCAGAGCTCTAAATCGCTCCAGCAATATGGCGACCAGGCCAACCTGGAACACGAAGGTGTTAAACAGCATCAACAGAATGATGATCAGGTTAAACAGGATGGCAATGTCCTGGATACTGTTGAAGAAAGGCATACAGGAAAGGAGAAGATGACAGAAAAGAAAATATGTGACCAGCAGGAACAAAAAGATTACTGTCTTTGTACAGTGCTATTTAATTCCATCCCAGCATCCCAAATGAGTCATTATAGACATCTAAAGCCTACTATTTTTAGATTTGTTTTCCCCTCAAGCCAAACTTAATGCTTGGCAGCTGAAACAATGAGGAACTCTTACTTACATGAAAAGTACCAGCTGGACAGCCGGTTCACCCCGCAGCAACTCGCTGAAGGAGTTGACGAACAGGTCGAAGGAGAGCAGGCTGAGCTGAATCAATAACACCAGAGAGTAGTTGCTGGTTTGGAGCGTCTCCGGCCCGAAGGCTGGGCGCCCGGGCGGACTGTGGTTCCACGATGGATCCAAGGCTGCACTGCACTCGTACAAACACTACATAGAAACATCAATCCACACGCAACAGTCCTGACTGTTTGGAGATCTTAGTGAGATTTTCAAATGGCTCCGCTGTGATTGCCCAAATGCAGATGATAGTTACACACAATAGTGCTCCATGTCTGTTGTTAAAATTAGTCCTGTTTACTGAAGTCTTTTCAAAATTAGAAATGGACAGTCCAGTTTTGGGATGAGCTTCCTGGAAGTCACAGATGCCAACATGTCACAACTGCTGATTTTTTACAGCTCCAACATGAAGAGATGTGGTAGCGCAGTGCAGTCTACAGTGTGCTGATACCTCCAGCATTGTCAATCAGCGAGGGTAAAGGTTTTCTTCCTATCAAAAGTGATGAACACCCAAGTAAATCCTGAAGAGACTCTGTGGAAGGAGACAGCAGAGACACATTAGTATTCTGCTGGAACACATCATGCTGAAAGACTGTATTTACTGTACAGTGTGAGTCTTGTTCTGTTGCAGATTTACAAGCACTTAAAGCATGGACTTAATGCGAAAGAGAATAAAAAACAGATATTGTTATGTTCCTACCAGACATGATCAGACTTGTTACAGAAATTGTCTGATGGAGTGAATCCATTTAACTGCCACATGATGTGATGAGGGTTGGTCCTTATTTACTATCAGTAAACTTTCAACTTGTTTGACCTTATTAATTAATAGAAGCATTTGAAACCCAGATGACAAAATAAACCTTCACCTGGTGAATCACACTTTTCAAAGGGAGGAAGCTCATGCTTCTAGCAGCAACTCGTGCAACAGTGGTTAAAGTATGACTAACCAAGAACAGTTTGCTGAAGTTAAACATGGACTGGCATGTTGATGACTGAATGCAACTCACACAAGTTGCTATTCACTGTTAAGGAGAGGCTGTACTATCCAAACGACTTGGACTGGCCTTGCTTAATAATTCAGTAGCAGGTCAGTAGTATCTGTCCATGCAGATAATTTGGGGTTTTTTTTGTTTACATTTTGAGATATCCATCCAACGTATTTGTTGGAACTACTTTCAACTAAAAGGAACAGTTCTTGTAAATACTCAAGAGTGACTGGGATGCTGATTTTGGAGAGAGATGTCCTGTATTTGTTTTTCAACACCGAGAGCACCAAAAATGAAATTCCATTCACCTCTATTGTAATGGCATGGACCTTGGCCTCTTGGATATCTCAAAACCTGGACAAATAAAACCAGAACTATCTGCATGGCTATTTGCAAATAGAGGCAGGTGAGATAGTATGTTAATCATTTGGGTAAACCAAACCTTTAAGCACAACAAAAATGTACCTGAAATTAATAAAATCAATTATACTTGGGGGATTTTTGCAAATATCCAGACACAGCTGGTGGCAGCTGAATTACAAACCTCCAAAACAAGCCACAACACATATTAAGATTAAATACAATTACAATTCTACACTAAAAACATTAAAGTAAACATTAAATCACAGTTTACCGTTAAGTCAAAAAGCATTTCGCCTCCCAAAAGAACATCCTTTCCTGTATATATTCCTTCAGGTTACTTCTCATCCATTACATTAAAACAGACTATTTATTTACTTGCTTGTTATGAATTGAGAAAAACAAGTCCTCCTTTCACTACCGTTGCGCCACTGAGAGTATTAGTTAAGTAGGTACTGTAAATCTTTGCCTTGGCTATTCTGGCCTCTTATGAGCCAGGATCACTATACAGCAGGCTACCTCACTCTGACACCAGGTGGATCCTCTTATGACCCCCGTATTTATAGCTTGGCATGGCCATGGCAGGTGTGTGGAAGATTATGTCCACTTCTAAACAGTCAAGCGTCGACCAGAAGACTACCTATACTTGGAAGCTGTCCCACTGAGATTCTGGGTTAGCAGCCCTACTGGCTCCTGGGCAGAAACTGAGAAAACAGAAAATAATACCAGTCTTAAAAGGTGAGACAGCTTGTTTAAGGTTGTCCAGTGCCGTGGATACACATCCGAGACAAAGAGTCGTCAATTTCTACTCTCGCTTTTTATAAACTGTAATCAGAAATATATCAGTTGGTCAAATAATAAATTTTCCTTTGACAAATATAGTGGTGTAACTTAGAAACCCTTTGTTGTTGTTAATGTGTTCCCAACTTGTAGTTCTTAGTACTGCACCATTTAATCTTCTTAAGAAACTCCGTAGCAGCTTGTTGCTTCACACAGAAAATATATATCCTCCCTTTTACTATTTTACAATATCAATTCTACCATCAAACTGCTGCCTAAAGAAAAAAAAAGTGTATGTACCTGTAAATGAAGGTTGATCAGAAGAGAATGAGGTAGTATCTGTCCGGATGATGCATGTGGCCACAAACAACACACTGTGCAGCACAGATTGTGTCTGTCCTAGTAACAGGTTTTATCCCGCCTGCTCTCTAATAGACAGGCACAAGAGTTTTGTCATGACATACTATGGATTGTGGTTGCTTTGTGTACATACACCCTAGTGACAGGATGCTGTAGCTATTACTAAAATGAAGTCTTAAAATATAACATAAGCTCCCAATTTGAAAGATGCAATGGTAGAGATTGCATACTATGATCCTCAGTATATTATAATGTAGTTTAGGTTGTGGGACTTCCTCCAGGGACCTTTTTGGATTTATATAAAGAGCAATGTTTTCTTTTCATTTTATTGTGGACTGTATTTCTCACCTCTGATTATGCTACTTATTTGTATTTAATTAACTTATCTCTTATTTCCTACACCGTGTTTGGTACTACGGGTTACTCCTGTAACCCTGAAATGCTGACATGTACCAACTCTTTATTTAAAAAACAAATAAAAACTTGAATGAGAAAAAAACAATAATGCAAAATCCATTTACTTTGTTACATAAAGTTCAGTTTTTTTAACTATGGACTGACATTTATTACAAAGGACAAGAAGTCACGGCCGTAGCTAAGTATGAGTAAATGAAGATGGGTTATAAGTGGACACTGTCTGTGCTTCTTCAGTCACATTTCCATTCCAGATTACGGTAAGGCTTCTAGGAAGGATATCTGGAGTTGAGCCAGAAGAAAACAGAAAACCACTGCCATCTAGTGGTGAATGTGCATTTCTGCACACACAAAAAACAATGCTGCCCCATTTACCTGTGCAGGAAACTTGGTGTAACCGTTGTACTCAAATACTGGCTTGTCAAGTACTTAAGAAATGCTGTATTAACATCTGAGTAAAGTGGGCAACTGTCAGATTAGATTAAATCTAATGGTTGGGGATAAGAACTGTGTAATTGTCGCATGAACTGACCATAATAGTCATTATAAGATCATCATTGAGTCTTCTGTTTTACTACAGCTTCCTCAGGGAAAAGCCGAGTATTAACCACGGCGAAAAAGACTTTTCCCATAGCAACCATAAAAGAGAGATGGGCCATATCTCAGCCCTTTGAAAATGTTAATTTGACTAAAATTTAATAGAAATGATCCTACTTTATAGGAACTAAATGAAACGTGTAAATGCTGTAATATGCTGATAGTGGGGATAAAAACCCTCTTTATCAGACTATCACAGTGGTGGAAGAAGTACTCAGATCTTTTAAATAAAAGTAGCAATAGCACACTGTAAAACTCCTGCATTCAATCTTACTTAAGTAAAAGTACAAAAGTAATCCAAATATATTTAAAGTACTCATTGTGCAGTTATAACATTGGATTCTAATTATTGATGCATTCATTTGTTCACCACTTTAAAGGTGGAGCTAATTTCAGCTACTTTACACACTGTTAGCTTGTGAATGTATCCCCTTATATTGACCTATTATAATACATCATAATGTATTAGTTGGTTATATTCTGTAGCCTATTAATAATGTGAATCTGCAAAGTAACTAAAGCTGCCAAATAAATGTAGTGGAGTAAAAAGTATATTTCCCTCTGAGTATAAAATGGAAATACTCAAGTACAATTAGCTCTAGTATGTACTTAGTTACATTCCACCCTTGGATTATCAATCAATATTATTGTGAAGTAGGGTTGCACAATATGGTAAAAACACAAATTTTCCCTAATAAATCTATTAAAATCATGCATTAAATGTTAAATTTTGGGGGGTTTGAATTAAACAAACCTGTTTTATTTAAATCTGGAGAACAAGATTTGTAGACCAGACTAAAGTACTTCATCACACTGTTTTGTCACACATTTCACCTTTATCAAAATTACATGCACTTGGTCATAATGGTGCAGCCCTATTGTAAAGTAAAGATTATTTAAAAATATATATATATATATACACACAGAAATCCCTGCAAACATGCTTTTCTTGGGTTTTTCTCCCCCTTTATCCCACAGTATCTGCTTACATCACATAACCATTGCCCCAGGACAGTGAAAAATCCCAGAAACATGCAAGGTGGCCCGGGGTGGAGTCAGCAGCAGCAGCAGCAGCTCCAGTCTCACTTTCTGGACGTGAGCTCAGCATTTTGATTTTTCTAGCCTCCAGCTTCACCCTGCTGTCGGAGAGGCCCTTTATCCAGGGGGGGAAGTGGAATGAAAACAGACGACATCTAGGAATAGTTGAACATATTGTTGGTTGCTCTACGTCGATAGAAGATTACAGAAACAGCAGGTAAGTGAGGGGGGGGGGGGAAGCAGGAAGTGCTCTCTGATTTAACTGTGTTAGCTCATACTGCGGTGTCGCATTGCCCAGACAGGCAGCATTTATCGTCTTTTTCACGATATGGCCGAAACGTTTTATAGCTTTCCACGGAGGCTAGGTTACCTGACAATGTGTTACCATGTTGTTGCCGTCTTTAAAAAGCAGAATATGTTGATAAAATAGGTCGTTTTGTCCACATTTGTTGGAGCAGCAGCAGCACAGAGGGCAGCCAAAGACGTGTAACTTTAGCGTTAGCTTAGGCGAAGAGATGCGTTGAAACTCAGCGAGGAAAACATACAAAACTGTGATTTTTATCAATGTGGGCAGTCCTATAAATGAATACATGATGGGATTACCCAGCACAGATGGTTATTATGAACTCAAACTCTGTACAAAATCTCACAAATCGTTTTTTTTATATATATATATTTCCAGTGGTTTCAGAGCTGAGCCGTTGTTAGGACACAGTTGTGATCTGTAATGGAAATGTTTAGCGAGCATAACTTTCCCTTGTCGTCACTTTAGATAATGTAATATAACACTACTTATTAGTAATAGTGTGATGGTACCTGGAGAAGAGGAAATACTCTTTAATGTATGCCATAATTCATTGTTAAAGCAAAGGATAAGCATCCCTGTGTTATAAACAGTGAAATGTGAGACTACTCTTACATATTTAACAGAAATGAGGCAGTAGTATTTGCACATGGTCACTTCTGCTTGACTTCAACCAGTGAGGATCATTGTGAAATGAACTCACAATGAGCCATAGAAGAATCAATACTACCCCACAGACAGTGAGTGAAGTATTCCTTACTCACTCACTTACTTTTATTTACTTTTCCAGGACAGCTAAGACACATCAGAGGGGATTTAGAAGTGGGTATTCTGCGTATACCTGTGCATACGCCACTGCTTATTAATAATAACCTGATTGTATTCTTTTTAAGGATGTTTCAGTAAGCAGCTAGTCAACAGCGTGGTTTTTATGCCACTGGGTTTTTACAGTAAAATGAGTCAGGTCACAGGTGTGATCAATGACTCACATATCAGTTGTATATTTTTCTTCTTTCCAGATAAAAGGCTGTGTTCAGACTGGTAGCACAACATTTAGCAGACACACGTCTAAATCGGAGCACTTGTTTTTACAAGCCTGGGTTACTTCTATAAATGAGCTCATTTTTTTTTTTAAATTAAACAATAAGCTTTCAAGGGAAAAGAGCAGAAGAATTATTTCACCCGGCTAATGTCATGTAATGGCTGTGACTTTCATTTTGGCCTTTGTCCACTAACTAAATTGATCAGGAGGAGACTTGAGTGGCTCAACGAAACAGTTTCCTCCGGGAAACCCTGGAAGAATACATCAAAAATGCTTATTGTAAATCAAATTTTAACAGCTCAAAAGATCCTTGTTGTTGAATAAAAATGTCCTAAATTGACAATATCCAAGATGATACTTTTCTTTTGTTCCCTATGCTGGATTTCAAACACCTCCATGACTTTTGTGCAGAAATGACATTTTGAATGCAGTCTAGTTGTAGATGTAGTATGAAGTCCAATTCAAATGAGATTTAACAGCTCAAATCAGCAGCTTAGTGTTTTCATCATTTGCAAATAACAGTATACTGCAAGCTTTATTTACAGTTTGGTGTGGACAGTCAAGTCAAAATACCGGATTTTAGAATGAAATGAGATTTGTAGTCTGAATATTTTGAATTATCTTAAGTTATTATTTTAATTATTGATTAGCTGCAGGTTATTTTCTCAATTGTTTCATTGTTTTGTCCATACAATGCAGTTAAAAATGTCCATCACAGAGTCTGAGATCTTAAAATGTCTTTTTTTGTTCAACCAACAGTCTAAAACAAGAAAATATTCTGTCTAAGAACAAGAGAACGAGCAAATTCTTGCAGAAGCTAGAATCAGAGAATTTAAAAGTACTATATCTATCTATATACCTCTATTCATCAGCTTGGTTTACAGAGAAAACTAAATATAGTAGCTGCATGTGGGGATGTTTTATTTTAAACTTTATCCAAGTTATTACTTTTGGATCATTTCTAACAACGTAAAGCAAACGATGACACGTTGTAGATAGAAAATATAAATGGTTTGTGCAGCAATTTTGCAACTATTTCTCCAGCAGGTCTGGAAACACCTACCTTAATTAACCTGCAACATAACACTAAAAACCTTACTGGAGCCGTTCCAAGTATTTCACCATGGAGTCTCGTGGGGTAGACTAGACAGCCATTATCTACTAAATGTGATTTGTGGTGAGTGTGTCAGACAGGTGGCATATCTCCGATTTATTTACCATCTTGTTTAATGTGCCCTTGAATAAAGATATCACGTCCTGAAATAAACTAAAGCTAATAAGATGCACATCGGTGTAACTCTCCATAGTTAAACCCTTCATGCAGAAGGGATATTTCTTCTGCTGTGTTTTTTACATCTTCGAAAGAAAGCTTGTAAACTTTTTTTAAACAGTTGACTTACTTTCTTGACTCAGCTGTTTCCTATCCGGCTCTAACAAGTAAAATAGGGAGTTGTCAATTAAGTCTTGTTTGAATTTCATTAACAAGATCTCACTAAGAGGGCCCACCCCACCAGATGGTCAACAGACAGAAAACCCAGACAGACTTACTCATTCATGTAGTGCTCATCTGAATTGACAGTACTGCATGTGGGGGTGGGGGAGCAGACGGGAGAGTCAGGAGGGGAAGGAGAGTTTGATAAGAGGCACTCAGAGGAGGGCAAGTCTGGGCTTGACTGGCAAGTGAGCCAAGAAAATTGTGAGGTTGAAAATAAAAAAAAATAAAAAAGAGGATGTGAGACGTGGGAATCAAAGATTACATAAAGGCAGCAGGTAGCAAGTGTTATTCTGTGATGGGATCTATAAATCTAACAGACTTCAAACTGGAGAGTCGTGTTTGGCATTGTTGTGGTGACAGCACTGTTTAACTTTGATACAGTGTCAATTACTGTGGTTTAAATACTGAGATTGTCTGGATAAGCTTTAGTCACTCCTGTTTTAAATACACTGGAGTGACATTTTTAATCTAATGTAAGTAAAAGTAATTGCTTTTAACTAAAGCTGCCTCTCTCTTATAAAACATAGCTTGCTTAAAGTATTCATTTGCTGGTAAAAGAACATGATTTTTTGCTTCTAGAGGCGTTGGATGTTGGGACCAGGCACCAGGGAAGCAGTTGGTTATAATTTCCAGCCTTTGGCCGACTCTCAGCTCCTACTCAGTGCTTAGTCATGGATCTCTCTGTATACACATGTAATAACTCAGCTCACTGATTCTGCCTACACTGCTGATCTGATGCTTACTCCCCCATGTTCTGCATTAGCCCTGTAACGTCTCATTTGTTAAAAGCACCCCAAGCTCTAATTCTGTATCCTCAATGCCAGCTGCTGGCTTACATTGCACTTATATAGCTTATTTTATATTGGATCAATAGTGGGGTATCATTCAATTAAGAGATACAACGGCCAACAGAAATCTGCAACCGTTTTAGTTATTGATTAATGTTTCAGTTATATTTTATTTAAAAATGCCAAATATTCTCTGGTTACAGTTTCTTGTATGAGGGTTTGCTGGTTTTCTTTCTCAAATATGAAAGTAAATTTCCGAAAGTTAGGTATCAAAAAAAGGATTGGTTCCATACTGGCACAAAAACTTGGGTATCAATATATTGCGGTAGTATCAAACTTATTTTAAACCATGTCTAATGCTAGCAGAAAGGAGTTTTTATACGCTCACATTTATCTTTACCAACACATTTCTTTGTGAGAAAGTTCAAGATTGTAGTTCTTGATCATGCTGTGTGCACTGACTAAAATGACTCCCACTCTCTTTTGCAGCATGGGGGTCTATGAGGAGAAAAAGGAAACATGTGGAACCGTCTGCCTGAAATACCTCCTGTTTACATTCAACTTTCTCTTCTGGGTGAGTTTCCATTCTGCACAAAGGATTTAATGGCCAAAGTGCTTGTGTTGGACTGAAGTGCTTTTGAAGCACCTGCATAGTTTGGGCAGTGTCTGTTGGTTTGGCCTTGGCCATCATTTTTATTGGTTATAATAACATTTCACTCAGCAAGGTAATTGTTGAGATTTTGTAACACAGCGAAAAGAAGTGAAACAAATTGTCAGATAATCATACAGGTTTTAAACAAACCCCCATTTGTGCCAAACTTTATGTATTTGGAAGAGAAAACAAAGGAAGACAGTAAAATGATTTACCAAACTCTCTGTTGTAAGCCTTTATCACAGTTTGCAGATCATTTTGCTCTCACGCAGATTTCCTGAGATATAGTTTTACCTTCAAATAAAGTGGTTTACATAATTTGGCAAAATAGTTTACAAAAATTGTGTTTCAGTCTCTAAATTGTGTTTGCTGGCAATGATTTTGGTTTGGTATTTTATTACACGGAACGTGACGCTGAAACTTAAAACAAAACAAATGAAAACGAATTTACCTTTAAACTTTCATCAAGGTGGGTACAGGGAAAGAGTGGGCCCTGTAACCAAACAATTCCCTCCACTTTTCCATTCACAGAATTTCAAAATCAGAAACACAACCGATGAATAATTTAAGGTTGATCGTCCACACTTAAGCTCAGACAGACATGAATATGAATAGTCAGAGGTGTTATCTTGATACATTTAGCTGCAGATGTTTTTAGGAATACATTTTTACCTCATTCCCATACCTGTGTCTGTGTTTTGTGCATAGTTTTAAAGTCCATTGCTCTAATCCCATGAAAACAAATCTGTCTGACTGAAGCCAGGGGGATCAACACAGTGGTCTTGGTCATTTATCAGAGCCATAAACAGCCCAAATTGTAATACTGATTAAACTAGAAACAACTCAATAAATAACCCAATCCCTGATAAAGATAAGGAAAGGGTATTTCAGGTTTGAACAAACTAAAGCTATAAAGGCAGTGTTTTTTTCACTACATAGAGATGGTAATACACATGAACACATTATGTTCTCATATTTATATGAATAATTTGCTTTTTACATGACATAAATGGGAAGAATTAGCTGATAAAACTCTGTCTGAACCCTTCAACAAAGCCTTTTTATTCAGGCAGCAAATAAATGCCGGCTGTTTGCAGAATCAACGCCAAGTTGCATACTTTCACGGAGGACACAGAAGATGCATTCAAAGCCTAATTCCCCAAAACTTTCCACTGTCAAGAACGTGATGTTCCAGGAGGAAAGCACTACAAATAACACGATGATCATCATTTGGATGTACTACGTGTAAAATAAGAGTCAAACATCAGTGTGGCAGCCTCACTGTCAGCAAAGGAAGGGTGTCTGTCTCTTTCTCACTCGTTCCCAGCGTGAAGTCGCACATACAGCTCTGCCCATATGTGATAATCATCTGTCTGCCAAAGAATCACATCTCTCTGAATTTGGCAGGCAAACAATACAGAGTCTTGTCAGTGCCAGATGCCCAAGTTATAACCATATGGATATTTCAGGACCAAATCAAATCTTTTGACTAAATTTGACTCAATATTTTTCACAATACTTTAGTGTGGGTACAAAGAGCTGAACTTCAGACAGCAAAATGAACACACTGCAACACTATAAAGTATTTTACTGAATGGCAGCTGTCCATTTACCTCAGGAGTAACATATGGTCACTATGTCTGTTTCATATTTATTAGTAAAATTATTTTTTGAGGAGGACTCAAGACACCAAATTGAGTGAAAAACAAAAAGTGAATGCTTATTAAATTAAATCTTTTGTTTGCTCAGGAATCACAGTTGTTTGAGCAGGATCACATGGATTTCTGTTTGTCTGCCTTTTTTGAGGTGTTGCTCACGAACGCTGGCTATGGATTTTCTGAGGTTTTTCCTTCGATATGTAATATTAGTAGGGTATTACACGATCCTCCTTTTGAAGTTTTAGGCTGAAATCATTTACGATTTTCAGGACACAGTCTGATTCAAAATACATAAGTTACATTTCATGTAACAACAGCTACAATCTAGATAAGTTTGACTAAACTTGAATGGCCATCAGACCTCAAATGCATGTCTGCTGTGTTTGTGAACATAAACAAACCTTGTAATCTTGAAGGCCAAGGACATAACTTTGAATCAACAGTGAGTCAACAGTGCCTTTTTAAACAAAGCCTTTAGTGGCTGTAATAATGGATATATAAAAGAAACATGTATAGAACCTGTAAGTATTATGAATGGACAAATGATACAACATTACATTCACTTCAGGGTCCTTAGACTTTCACATGTTCCAGTCTCTACCTCTTGCCGCCACTGGAGGTCGCCAAAGTTTGAATTTCCCTTGTGCCGCTTTCAATTACACTCAATATTCACTAATTCCTGTGGTTCATTGAGTTTTAACAGCAGATAAAGCCACAGCCAGCATCATGTTCTCCACATGGAGCGATTACTGCAAAGACTGAACCTCATTCTGTTTCGTAACACTGTGGTTCTCAGGGTTGGGATCCTTCTGTGGATGATGAAAGATGATGTTTGGAGAGTTGTGAGATGCTTTATGTAAAGAACAAAACCACATAATAACAAGTTATTATCACTTCACACCAGTTTAATATTGTCACTTTTTTAATGTGATGGGTAACATGATGAATAGTCTCTCTTGAAACAATTTCTAAACAATACATTGGAAATATCTTAAAGGAAAACAGCTGTTTGGATTGAACTGTTCAAGTCTTAAATGCAGCTGATGACAGGGCTCTTGATTTTTTGTTTTTTAGTGGTCATGAGCAATGAGTAAGACATGACCTAGTGGGCATGTGTAGACTGTTCTGAACTGCGCCTATGAACTGTAATGAAAGTGTGAATTAAAACAGAAGCTACTAAAATGATGAACATGTACAGTAATGTAACATCAGCTACTTACTGCTCCCGTTGGGTAGTTAGTAAAGCACTGTGGTTACTCTTAATAGTTAGTAAAGAGTGATGACTGAAATATTTTGCTCAACACTGTTGTTCTGTGTGTTTTCCTGCCACACTGTCTCTGGGTGTGGTACAGTCTGACTCAGTGTCTCGCTTCTGTAGCCATCGTCTTCCTTTATAAATTAAATCTAAATTAGGCAGGCTGTCAGATTGGCTGTTTGGCATGATGACAGATATCTGTTGCAGTGCTGCACCATCTGCTGACTCGTCATTGTGATATCTTTATAATTTAATTTTCCTCATATCGTCTTTAACTGTTAGCTTAGATAATGCTGAAGATGTCGAGCAATGAAAGATATATTCTGGATTGAAGCATCGACTCTTATGCTGTTTTGTAATTACAGTTAGTCCATCCTGTGAGCTTAAGGATTCACTTAATGCTTTGTAATTCCCCAGACTTTATACCACATGATTGCTCTGTATGGTTAAAGTCAAAACCTTTTAGAAATGCCTAATCCCCCACTGACAATTGTTAAAAATTAGCATTTATAGGGTTTTATAGGGCTGCAACTAACAATTATTTTATTTATTGCTTAATCTGCCACTTATTTTCTAAAGTAATCATTTAATTTTTTTTTAAAGAAGTTAAAACAATGCTATTCATAATTTCTCAGAGCCCATGGCCATGTTTTTCATTTGTCCGACCAACAGTTCAAAACCCAAAGATATAAAATTTACTGTGATATAGTTCAAATAAAAGCAACACATTCTCTTATTTGAGAAGCTGAATATTTGGCATTTTGCTGGAAAAATAACTGACACCAAATTAATTGATTGACAAATTCTAGTCTAATTACCTGACAAATCGCTGTGCCTGCAGTTAAGTTGATACTTTTATCAAAGCACAGTAGCAGTGACAGCCCTGGATTACGAACCTCAGCAGCTCCTTTTTGCTCATTCACAATTATCTTGCAACATTAACTAATTCAAGATTAGATTATCTTGTGTGGCAGCGGTGGGTCGTTTTTATCAGTTCACATTCAACAATTGAAAGGCCCTCATTGCAGGATCCTCCTTCGGCTCTCTGAAGCCGACTTGGATGACAAATAATTGAAACCTCTTTGTCACTCTCTGTTTTTGTCTGTGATGTTTTGGGGACCAGAGTCTCACTGGCAGACATCAGACTCTTATCTTGTGCTCTTCTCCCAGTTGGCAGGGGGCGTTGTGATGGCGGTGGGCGTTTGGACCTTGGTTGAGAAGAGCGACTACATCAGCCTTCTCTCCTCCAAGACCTACGCTGCCTCCGCCTACATACTGGTCCTGGCTGGAGCCATCGTCATGGTAACAGGCGTGCTGGGCTGCTGTGCCACCTTCAAGGAGCAGAGGAGGCTACTGCGAGTGGTAAGAGATCACGTCAGGGTAGAGAGATAATAGAAGCTTCACACAGCACGCTCGTGAAAATATTCAAGTGTGTGAAACAGAGATCACTTGTACTGTGCAACCTAAACGAAATTATACAGTGGGATAGGAAGAATGGCTCTTGAAGATGTGGAAAAAACAAAAAATGTTCAGTGATTTGAAAATGAACCCTAATGCTGAAAGAAATCTGTCCCAACCAAGCCATACTCACTATTAATAATAAAAAACGAGCCAATCTTTGACTGTTGAACTGAGTTAACTCTATTGCCATATATAACAATATTATTAGTAACTTGCCTTGGTGAGCGCAAAACAGACAGGACAACATTCAGTCATACTATTAAAGCCATTATATACATGAGATATTGTACAATATACACCTCGAAGTGCCAAAGGTTTACCATTCTAGTGTTGAATAGCCTCAGGGAATGTACTACTTTTCAGGTATTCTTCTCAAACTTGGTCCCTGTCGATCACCGTAGGCCACCACCTGCACAGGTACAAAACAAAGGAAAACACTGCAGACTGCTGTCTGTTATTCTGTTCGATGCAAAACCGTAACTTTCAGTAAAACTTTCTGTCCCGTCTTCAGCCAGACGGCTAATCAGCGTATTGTTGAAAGAAACAAAACATTTTTCATGTGGTGATACTAAGCAGATGTGAAGCGACAAAAGACTTTTAATTAACATCCATTGTAGAAGTAAATGACATTCTCAGACAGTGATTCTGTGCACAAAACATGACTAAAATAAAGCAGGATTGCATATTCTTCAGTAAGATGTGCATCAGTTTCTTTGTCACTGAGGTCATTCTTGGCATTTTTCAACTCTACAATAAACCAAAAAGTAAATCTGGGACATCGTATACAACTTCCAGAAGTAATAGTTTGTTAAAAGGACATTGTGGTGCCAGCCAAGGTCAAGGTGTCAGCCTCGGTTGCGTTCAGTTCAGACAAAACAAAAAGTTCATACAGTAGGAACGTGTGTGCCCATATTTGATTTGGCACACTCTCTACACAGCACTTGGTTTTGCCAACAGAGACACCTGCATGACACTAGAACCAGCTCAAAATACAAACACACTACTATGCACACACTCATGCACAAAACACACACTGCTCAGGCGGTTATCCACACATTTCAACATGGCAAATTTATGCATGCACACCACTGTGTGTGCAGCTCAAATGTTTGCATCGTATAAGCTCTGCAAGAACATGCGTCATCTTTGGCATTATCCATTTTCACCGGAGACGAGTCCACGTAATTCTGCACAGCTAGATATTGTCAGCTTTAGACAAGGCAGAAGCCAAAACATACCTGGCATACAAAGTGTATTTATACGTAGCATTCCTGAAGTAGCACGTGGGGAAAGGAGAACATATACAACAAAGTTATGGCACACACATTTATTTAACTACTAAAGAAAAGCGGTGTCAGTTCAGTTCAAATTATGAAACAACTGTCGGCCACATCTGTCAATGCTCATTTTATTACTTGTAACGACTGAAATTTCTGACAAAAAACTACTTTTTATTCCATCCATGTAAGTTTGGGACACCTGTGCTAATAGCTGTATTTATATCTGTAAAAATGAAAACAGTAGTTAGAAAATATATAACTATTCTGTCAAGGGTAAGTGGAATGGATGTGTTACTCTTGTAATATAATGATAATAATTCTAATAATACAATTCTTTTTCAGCAGTAAAATGGCAAAACCAGTTTCATTTTACCTAAAACTAGATATTCTATTGTCTGGATGAGACTGAGATTGAGATTACTATTTTGTGTTGGATAGTAATAGTTTTTAAGGAGCTGTCTTTGGCTTTAGTTGACATTGAAATTTGAGGGGAAAAAACGCTCAGATGTGGGTGTTGACTTCAGGTCCCCAGGGCAACCAGTGTGGGGAGGTTTTTTTGAAGCTTTAAAACATAACTGAAAAGTCAATAGATCTGGACGCAATAAATGAAGTCCCCACTACGTTCAGATTACCTGATTTAGCACTCTGCACTTGTAAATCGAGATACGTGCACCACCTCTTCTCCCGTGTGGTTTTGAAACGCTCGGTGCATCCTGAAGAGTCGAGATTAGGGCGATGAATCACAGAAGAAATGAACTTGTCGGCAAGGAGAGATGCTATCGAGATTGTTAAAGAGGGCAAACATAAGGGCGGGGTGGTGGGGAGGGAGGAGGTAAAGTAATTGTTTTCCTGTATGTGGCGAGTGCCTGGTACCTGCTGAGAGTACACGAGAGCAGCAGCAGTGATTGGTAACACTGTCCTGTAACCTAAAGGTCACAAGTTCTCACTACAATAAAGCTGATGCAGCCATAGCATCACCAGGATACTGTAGCTGCAGTTGATTAAAGGTCTTATCAGACTTTCTGTAGGGCTGTTAGTGATAGCTATAGAAAGTATGAGGGAAGTCAGTAAGACAAAGAGAAAAAGAGGAAAGCGCTCCCACATGAAGAGGGGTGTGGTGTGTGTCTGCGAACACAGCTTCATTGTTTTGTAGGAGAAAAGCGACAGAACAGTGTAATGAGTCAGGGAGAGGACGGAGAAAGTTTTTCCTTCCGAATGATGGAGCCAAATGGAAAGCAGTCCTAACAGAGTCTGGATCCACCTGTGGAGAAACTGACTTCATACAATTAGTCTGGACATATTACAAGTCTCAGTGTGTCTCAGTCTGTCTTTCTCTTTAGTTGTCTCTCTCTCTCTCTCTCTCTCTCTCTCTCTCTCTCTCTCTCTCTCTCTCTCTCTCTCCCTCTCTCCCTCTTTCCCTGAGCCCTTCAACTAGTCCAAACCTAAAAACAACAAAAGCACTAATGTTTGGGCTTTTTAATTTTCCCCATTGTCTAATCGTTTCAGTTCTAATTTAGGACTTTATGTTTAATACAGATACATCCAGTGTGTAACATTTAGGACAATCTGTTGGCAGAAATGGAATATAATATCCATTGCTACCTCAGAATGAGCCGTTTTTAAACTATAGAAGGGGCGGGTCCTCTTCCATGGAGTCCGCCATGTTGAACTGCCATGTTTCTTCAGTAGCCCAGAGGGGACAGACCAAACACTGGTTCTAGATAGGGGTGGTTGTGATTTTGTGCGTTTCGCAGCCACCGTAGTTTCTCCTTCATGCTTGGAAGGGGGCGGTGAAGCAACAGAGTTGCGATCTGTTACTACACAGCTAGATGCCACTAAATCCAACACACTGGTACTTAAAATAAATGAGCAGAGAGACACAATACAGTATTTTACAATATGTAATTTACACTGAATGATATTAATGTATAGGATGTCAAATATAAGGAAAATGACGATAAGTAAAAAATATATGACTGCAATTTATTACTGTTTTTATTATCAATCAAGCTATTGACAAGTTTTATATGTCAAATATAAGGAAAATGCTCAACCCTCGGCTTACTATCTGTCTTTCAGTGCCTCTCAGCATCTCTATTTTCTCTCTATATCTCTTTGTATTTGTTTTTTTTCTTATCTGGCTATATTTGTTGTTTCACTGTCTCTCTATTGGATTGGATTTTAAATGAGGCAACGGGCTGGCAGAGCAGTAAGCAGAAGCAAAGGTTAAAGAGATCTCTGCTTCATAGTTCATTTGTGTCAGGCTGCTCCGCTCTCCTGTTCCGCAACCTGATGAGTCTTTCATGACTTGGTTAAGATCTTCGCTCATGAACGGCAGGCATTTATTCAGCTGCACGGCAGAGTTTCTTAGGACAGTCTTTTAGGGTTCAACAAAGGCATAAGAGTTAGATGAAAAGTATTTTAAAACACAGTGCTACTCATTTCAATTCATTTCTATATGGTGTTGAATAACTTAAATACAGCCAAGTTGGGTGTGAAGAAAACAGTGCATCTCTTTTAACGGTGGTCTGTATCTTATATGGTCTACAGTGCTTAGTGCTTAGTTTGAAATCTGTGCACACCTTCTCTGTGTGTGTCTGAGTTTTTTAATGCATGGTGCATCTTGAGGAGTTGAGATCACAGCCATGAATCACAGAGAAGGAATGAACTTGTCAGGAGACAGGGAGGATCGCTAGAGATTGCCAAAGATGGAGAACATAATGGAGTTTTGTGTGTGTATGTGTTTGTGTGTGCCTTTATGTCACCCATCAAAAGAAGTAAATTCATGGAATGACATATTGTCGCTGCATCTTGGAAGAATTAACATTTTTAACTCGTTACTCGTCCAACTGTTTGTCTTCATACAAAATATTTTATTTATGAATTACAAATCGTCAATAAAACTACAGCTGACATCTTTCACTTTTATTCTATAATGGCTCTAACTGATCATCTTATTTATTTTTTTAATAGAATCCAACTGCATGTGTTTTATATCATAGTAAATTGAAAATCTCTGGGTGACATTTTATAGACCAAATGATTAATCGATTGTTCAAGAAAATAATCAGCTGAATAGAGCCACTATATAAGACAGCACAGGCAGCGTATTTGAGTTTTTATTTCATGATTATTTACGCTGTCATCCAGTTGATGGAGAGGTGATAAGTTCAGCTCAGCAGGTGACGGATTAATTGATAACATTGGGCTTTCATTTCACTGTAATGAAGAGTAGCGTGTTGCTGTGTCTCTGCAACTAAATCTTTTATACTTTTACACACAAACAACACACGTCGCTGTCAGTTAGACACCAGACTGAAGATAGTTTGATAATCACCAGCTGCTGGACACAGGTTGATAGAGTCTGCATCAAGTTGGAGTTAGTTTAAAGGTTTGATTGATTAGCTGTATGAGGCCAGAGAGTCCACCATACAGCCCAAAGGTCACTCCTTTCAAAAACTAACACGTGTCCAACTGTTATCTGATCAAAGTCACCTTCATTGTGACTCTGAACTCGCTCAGTGATTGTAAAGGCAGCAGTACACTTCTAATGTCAAATACAGGGCTGCATACAAATGTGTGTATCCTGTCTCCAGATACGTGTTGTTCCTATATGTTTGCTGGATGCTGGTGGAAGTGCATGAAAAGGAAGGAAAAGTAAAGAAGCAAAGAAACTACAGTAACTCTGGAGATAACCAGCTGTTGTGGAAGAGGGACACAGAAGTGAAAAGAAACTGTTCAAATATTTTCTAACAACCTCAGCAGGATGAGTCTGACTTTACCATGAGATGTTAGATCTTTTTTAGCCAGGAAGCCTACAGCACAGCAGGCTGTTGAGTCTGAAGCCACTGCAGAGCTTTAAAAAAAAAGAAGGTTTTGTACATATGAACCTGCTGAGAGTCATTTTGGCAGTAATTACACTGTGCCCTTAAGTCGCCTGGGAAAAGAATGCCAGCTCAGACATAAAATTAGTCTGTAAGACAGTGTGTGTGCCAGAGATCATGAGGAGTCCTCTGGAGTCACTGCAGTCAGTAATTCAACCACCTCAGTCTCCACAGCCAACAACAGGTTCTCTCTCACACCCTGTACACATCACTGTCTGTGTGGGATCAGTCTGAGAAGCATGCTTTGGTGTGTGTGTGTGTGTGTGTGTGTGTGTGTGTGTGTGTGTGTGTAGAGAGAGAGAGAGAGAGAGAGCGTAGGCAAAGACAATGACCACAAGTATGGTAGAGTCAGAAAAACGGACCGTCCTTGTTTTCAGCAACAACTGCAGAGAATTTCTGTAAGACATTAGCTCGGTTAGAAGAACAGTTACCTCACTGACTGAAATTTGTGAGGTCAATTTCTACTCTGGGTGAAAATAATAGATTATTAAAAAAATAGCCATGAAATTCATTTCAGTCAATTTGTGACTGATGTAAACCACTTAATAGCAGGAAGATGTTTATTTTTTATTATATAGCAGTACCGATTTATTTTCCTCCAGATTTGATATGTTTTTGCTCAGCTTCCATCCCTATAACTTTCATATTCTGCCTGACGGATATTGCAGTTTCAAGGCCAATTTTTGAGGAAAGAAGTAAACCATATTAGCTGATAGCTGTTTTAAAGAGAGTTGTGATAAAGACATTTCCTGAGGCAGAGTATTTTATATTTAGACTATTATCAAACATGACAGTAACGGAAAATTGAAGACAACATACATTTAAATGGAAAACCTTACTGTAGTATAAATAAAAACAGCAGCACAAATGTTTACATTGAAGTATGTGCTGCAATTTCCCCCTTTGTAAGTCAGAAAACGTAGTCTGCTGATGTATTGTTCAAGCTGTAGGACCATTTATTATTCATTTGACGTAGAACTCGAGTTAACATGTGCTTTATTATTGTTGAATCACTTTGGGTACTTTTTGGAAGTATTGGAATTAATCTAATCATGGGAGGAGATTTTGTAATGCACCAAATCCATTACAATAAAGGATGGGGTATAAAATTTGTTGGATCAAATCTTCACACATCTTTTTTAGTGTCATAGGTTTGATTCTTTGAATCTGACTCTGGCATCTTTAAAGGTTGCCATACTTCCCTTCAAACCACCAACACAACATCAAAATGCATCTTATAGTCTGCTCAGCATTCAGGCTCAGAGCCACTCTGAGATTTAATCAGCCCAAGCTTTCAAATCAAGGACCAAGTCCACTTTACCAGGCTGATTTTCTCTCTCTGATAGCGGCAGGGCCAGAGGAATTTGGGTCAAGGTTTTGGTCTGATAATATCTCTTCTTGTCTTTAAGTCTGAAGACACTTGGCATGAAAAGCAGACCTTCCCTCTAACTCTCATGGGCCTGGTCACGAATCAGATACTGACGATAAACTCTGAACACCAAACCTCATTTAAAAGGCACAGAGTATAAGATGTGCCAGCCACTGGGCAATGACTCAATGTTTGGCAGTTTCAGGCTTTAATAAACCAACGTTGAGCGAAAGAGCTGAACATGAGAAAGCACAATGGGGTTACCTCAATTTGCCTAAGTTTTGTCATCTGTTGTGAGGCCTCTTTTTATGGGCTGGCACAGTTGTACTTGTAGTATGCAGTACTATTACCAGTTTATTAGTTGCACCTGTACCATCTAATGCAATCCAGAACACCAGGCCTGCAATAAAATCCTACTTTTGTGAAGGTTTTTTTAGGCTGTACTTGGTGGTGCAGTTGTATTTGATTGCATTATATTTACATATGTATGATGGTTAAAGGACAGCAAGTGGATCCAAACATGACTCAAGTGAACAATATGTTTCTCCGTAACTGCTGGATGTGTAAATAAGCAGCTGTTAACAAACAAAGTTTCAGCTTACAAGGTGGTGATATGTTAATGTCATGTTCACAACTTGTTTCTGCTGCCCTCGAGTGGCCATAAAAATCAGTTATTGCAGGTTTAAGTACTCTATAGCAACAAATCAACAAAATAAATAATACAGTACTTGAGACGTCAGAAGCTGCGACTCACTTACCAGCTGTTTTAGTTTGTTCCTCCAGCTCCTCCGTTTCATTGGTGCATTGCATCTTGGTAGAATAGTGTACATCAAGAGTGTATGGGAAAATGAACTGTTTTCAGTACACTGCTGGATATAACTACATACCCAAAATCTGCTTAGAATTAGTTTGTTTAACGGATTTGGGACAGAGTCACTTTGCCATCAGCAAGAAACCCAGCTCATATTTCACGGCAGTCAACCTGTCTGTCCAACCTGGAGTGGACAGAGTTTTCCAATATTTTTATTTCTAATTAACATCACAATAGATTGTCCTAAAGTCCCTTCAATAGAGTTAGTTCTCTAGGTTTCGAACAGTGCTGCATGTGTGCCTTTAAATGCTTCACCATCCCCTATTGCTTCACCACATTTCCATCCTCTAACTGTATTTTCTTCTCCTCCTCCCCAGTACTTTGTCCTGCTGCTGTGTATCTTCCTGTTGGAGATCCTGGCTGGCATCCTGGCTTATATCTACTACCAGCAGGTAATCACTCTCAGGCCAATAAAAGTTCTATTCAAAATGTATTTTACAATGCACCCTGGGATTTGTATGTTAGGTTGTAGGCATGGGATTGCAGAGGAGCAGCTGACAGATATGATTTCAAAATGATTGATTTCAAATGACAAAAAAGTCATTTAAAATCTGACACAGAGGTTAGGATTTGTTTTAAGTAATAATACAGTCTTTATGGAATTGTTTTGGCACATTACAAAAGTCTTATTTTATTTTTTTATTGTCACTGAATTTAAAAAAAGAAAACAGTCGTGAACAGTCTACGTATATTCGTCTACCATAATATAGAAAATTATCTGACATTAAAACCGTTTTTGTGTGTAGCAGCGATGATGTACTGTACTTAAACATCAATAGAGCATGCTTGGCACATATTTTGTGCCTCTTAATCTGAGCACGTAGTCAAAGGTGAAAAAAAACACAGACGGCTGTCTCAGTTCCCACGTGGCATGTGCTGCGCTGTAATTTTACAGCATGATAAATGAGACTGCAGGGAGGAAATATAAGACGGCCCATTAAAAATACAAATATCAGACTGACCATATTACTTGTGGTACATTTAGTCCAAATGGAATGAAAAATGCCTCATTAGTACATCAACAACAACAAGGCTGAATGCACTGTGTCAGAATCAATTAAATGCATTTTTTAACTAAAATACACTTAAAAAAGGATAAACAAAGACATGACTAAAGAGAGTAAAAACACTGCTAAGCCCAAAGAATGTGCTAAATGCTCACAGTCCTGCTTACAAGTGATTATTTTCTTATCTCATGTTCTGTAGTTAATGTGAAAACTGACAGCCTCCCCCGGCACATTTCAGCTCTAACAGTGTAGAGTTATACTGACTATACTGCAAGCACTCACAAAATAGAATTTCGTTTCTCCTCGTGTAATATTAACATGACTTTGCTCGTCACCAGCAACAGTCCGACTGCCTGGTCTCAAAGCCTGGTGGCTTGTAGCTCAGCAACAGGACTTTTCTCAGTCTAGAGGTCCTCTGCTATCATTATAACTGCCTCATTCATAATACACAAGTCGTCTGAACATGAGCAGGCACTGAGCTCCATGACTCTCTCCTGCTTCCTAAAGCTCTCCTTCACTCGCTTCAAAAGATTCTTGCATCAATTGCTCAAATCTCTAAAGCCACTCCTCTTCTCTGCCTCTGTTCTTCCTCCTTTGTTGTTCTTCCTCAGTTTTCTCTCTGGTAATTAGTTGTGAGAACTGTACGTTTGCTTTTTATTCCAAGATGCCAAACACCTCATGGAAACTGCCTGTAACTCTCTCACAAACACATTTATTCATGTTTAGCAAGCTGCAGATTCTCCACTAGAGGAGAGGCTGTTTGGTCATTGTCTATCCAGTTCTACACATGTCAACCAGCTCCACCTAGTGTAAAGGGAAGTAATGCAGTTTAGACCTGCAACACGTCAGCATTGCCTCCTTCAGGCAAAGAAAGTAATAACTACTGCACTTTTTTTCCACCACCTGCAGGCAATCAGTGCTTCATCTGCAGTTTTGTAGCTGTTGTTTTCTGTGTGTGAGGTTTCCCCAAAAAGCTTATTCAAAATGCAGTTCATAAAAGTGCAACGCCCACATTTTATAGGGCCACCAAATGTTATAAAGTGGGAAAACCTATTGCGTATTGGGTTCAGGCTGTTTATTGCAAAATGCGTCAGATTGTTTCAAAAATCTGGGTGTTATTACATAATGAATTAGATTTTGTCTGGTTAAAAAGTCCTACCCTCTAGTAACAAAAAGGACAGTTCTGGGGAAATGAGGACACATGAGGATATGAGTGTGAACTTAGTATTCTGACCAGTGTTCAGCAGAAAATATGCTCTCAGCTCTCTCAGTTTGCAAGTTTAAAATGTCAAAAATGTAAAAAAAAAAAAAGTATAGCAGCTTTAGCCGCCGTTGCCTTCAGGTGACACTGTTGTGAACTTCTGTTGTTACCTTCTTTGCCTGTAGATGGCGCACATTTACTGCACTTCTAAACTGCTGCTGTTACGTTTTTTTTTGTGACTTGGCCGTCCACGTTGGACCGGAGCATCCTGGTTTCACGGTCATGCAGCCATCACCTGAATAGATGCTTGAACTCATGTTTGCTTCTATTTGTATGCGGTTAATGCATACAATGCCACATAATGCTGCTCACTCACTGCCGCTGAGTCTACTTACTGAGCCATTTTAAAACCTGAATTGCAGCTATTCCCTTCATCGGCACAGCGTGTCCCAAACTGTCAACAGGTAAAATAAAGAAGCTCCCCTCCAACGCCCCCCCACCACCACCACCACCACATCCCTCCTGTTTCCTCCTCCCCTCTGACGCCCCCCCCCACCACCACATCCCTCCTGTTCCCTCCTCCCCTCCTCCTCTTTGTCTTCACCTCCCGTCTCTCATCTCTCTGCCCTCCCTTCTTCTCTTCATCATTCATTCCCTTGATATCTCCTTCACGCTTTGATTTACAGTGGTTTCCCAGCTGGCTTGTTGCCATAGAAACTGAGCCCCCCAGACCTGCCGCTCCTCCAGCGAGCGCTTTCTGCCACTGGTCTAGAGAACAAAAAAACACCGACTTCCTCTGCCATCGCCCCGGTTTCATCTGCTCCTCTGTTGCTAGAACCGCTGTCCATGACATGTATTGTCGGGAGAGCGTTTAAAATCTGTGTGCTATGAATCTCATCACCAGCAGAGTCAACAATTGCAACTAATTTAACACTTGGTCATGCTCGGTGCTGGCCCTTAGATTTTTGTGTTGCTATGTAGTGAGCTGCTAAAGCATGTGTCTCTGTCTGTATGTCTGAACAGTTGAATGACGAGCTGAAGCAGAATCTGAAGGAGACCATGACCCAGAAGTATCAACAGAAAGGCCACGAGCAAGTCACCAGGGCTGTAGACAAACTGCAGCAAGAGGTAAGTGTCTGTGTAAAAAAGGATGGACACAACTACCACTTTCACAAGGTGGAGGTTCATTCAATCTAACACAAACTTTTGAAATGACAACTGATTTTTACTTTCAGAGTGCACCCACAGTTTTTCTTTTCTCTAGTTGTTTGCACCCACACCATCATGTCAACCAGAGTGAACCAGAGCTTCAAAGCAAAAGTCACATGGACTCACACGTGATTTTTTGATTGGACAGTGTTTGGTAACCTATCATCCCATCAGATTAGAGATTTTGGTGATGAGGGCGAGTCAAAATAAATCCGATTCAAGTCCCTCCGACTTCAGCTAAGCATGATGGACTTGTCTGCACTCTCAGCTGTAATTTACCCTCTTTTTTGCTTATACCAGTTGACAGCACATGAAGGAATGGATAAATCTGAGCAGCAGTTGAAACTTCAGTTGGTTCATTTTTTATGCTCAGTTTTTTAAGCATGAGAAGCCCGGGGCTGTCAGATGTCAACATTTATTCTTTGTTTTTTCCTCTAAACTTTTTATTTCCAGTAATTTATTTGGATTCACATTTTGGAAAATACACTTATTCGCTTTCTTGAGAGTTAGATGAGAAGACTGATGGAGCTGTAGCCAGCTTCTGGTAACTCAGTTGAAAATTAATACTGTAAACAGTTAGCCTGGCTCTGTCCAGAAGCAACAAAATCGTCTACCAACACCGCTACAGTTCACTACTTAAAGGCGTGTAACATTGATGAGGATCTAACGAGGTTTGTTTTCATGAGTGTATAATAACCATTTCCACTCCTCGCTCACAGATCTGTCAATTTGTGCCGCTCGTCAGCTCCGCCTGGTTCTGCGCATTCTCCGCTCCCCTCCACTTCATCATAAATTTTATCCCACTCCACTCGCTCACCACTCCGCTCACCACTCGAAAAAAAAAAAAAACCTGCATCGTACAACCTTCACCTGCAATCTTCTATTCACAAATAAAACACGAGCTTGGCTGTTTTTCCCCAGGCTACGTATTTTCATTTCATTTAAAAAATACAACCCAACTCAACTAAGACATAAGGATAATGTTTCGTTTTTAAGCTGACAAAAACAGTGAGTTCCTGTAGTAGACTGCCGCGTTTCCGAGAAATGTGTCCTTTTAGATTCCAAAACGATTCTTTACCGACTGCAACAATGTCAGCGCATTCTTTTTCTTCCACATTATCCCCATCTGTTACTTTTACAGGAATAGTACACTTGTACGACTTCTCAGTTACTTTTCTGAAGTACACATTAAACTCCATAGTTTTGAAAGAAAATAGTGTGGATGTGTGCGCAGGTGCAAAGATGCATTCTGGGTTGGGCATGAGCGACCGGAGCGAAATTGGAGCGAGAGATAAGGCTCCGCTCCACCTTTTAAAAAAATTGCCGCTCCTCGCTCAACACAAAATCCTTCCGCTCCCTGCTCCGCTCATATGCTCTGGAGACAGGCTAGCTGTTTCTCAGTTTTCAGTCTTCATGCTAAGTGAAGCTAACTGGCCACTTGCAGTAGGGTTCACATTAACTGCACATAATCAGACTCGTATTGATCTTCTCATATCAACTCTCAAATATTGGTGAGAAAAAATCAACCTATTTACAAATTGTCAAACTATTCCTTTACACCGAGTTTCGCTTGTCTTTTCTTTTGTGAATTTGAATAATTATGCCGTTGGTTTATACCAACTTTTAATGTTTCATACTAACATTACATACTTTAACTGCCTTTTAATACTTATTTGCTAACATCCAAACTCCCCTCTTAAGCTGTCTTTTCCTCCTGTCAGTTCAAGTGCTGTGGCAGCAACAGTTCATCCGACTGGAATCAGAGCGTCTGGATTCGCTCCTTAGAGGCAAGCCAAAGACATGTGCCTGACAGCTGCTGTAAGACTCCCACTGAGTTCTGTGGCCGCAGGGACCACCCATCCAACATCTACAAGGTGGAGGTGAGAGGATGAAGGGTGCTAGGGGGTGTCAGTGGGGCTGACTTTTCAGTACAGGTGGCTAGATCAGTATTACTATCATGTCTCAGTATGTTAGCATTGGGATCGTGTAGTGTAAGACGAGCAGAGAAAGAAGAGCTGTCATATCCGAACCGTATACATAACATTTGTTTGCAGTGAGACTTCAGCAACACTCCCACATCAACTGATGCAACATAAAGACACACTTTGTTTTTCATTTAGGGCGGCTGCATCACCAAACTGGAGAAATTCATCCTGGACCATCTGAAGATCATTGGAGCAGTGGGTGTTGGGATTGCCTGTGTACAGGTGAGCTAAAACAAATAAACAGAGATTTAAACAAATGTGTATCTGTGGAGATTGCACTTTTACTGATGTTTTCCTTTCCCCTCCATCCAATCCTCAGATCATAGGGATGGTGTTTACATGCTGCCTATATCGAAGTCTAAAGGCAGAGCCATACTAAGAGAAGCAGAAGAAGAAAAGTGTGTGAGTGTAGGAGGTAACTTCATCACCACATGCCATACTCAAATAGCCCATAGGTTCTTTTCTTTGCCTTGCACATAGGGGAAGGAAAATTTGGCAAGGGATCAAATTGCACATCTGAGGATCTCATTTTGGTAAACAAAGGGTGGAAAAACACTACAAGGTATCTTGAAGTAATTAGGTGCTCAAATTGCAGTCTCAGCTACATCTTCAAGATCACAGCACTGTGAGAAAAAGCCTTCGAGAGAAACTGATGGGAATTTTAACACAGATTGTGTAAATGAGCGTGGGACAGCCTCCTTGGGACTAAAACATTGTAGTTTTCTTCCACTCGGATTCCCTCGATGTACATTTATGTTTGTGGACCAGGTGCTGCACCCAAGAGTGGAGTAAAGACCGGTGGAGTAAAACTGGCACTTTGCAGAAAATGTTAATCTTGGTCGCAGCAGCCTTCCTTTCCCAGCAGCACGGTTTAACAAGCCGAACTCTGGGGCCCCCCTTTCAACTGCAGCAGCATTTTGTTTCCACGCTAACTAGCCAGTCATGCATTTTAAATATTTTTTCAGTAGTGGCCTTTTTAAACTTTTGAACTGTTAGTTTTTGTATTTTTTACATGATTATTTTCTGTAACATGTGAGGCACTTTCTTTTGAGCTATGAGGCTTTATTTGCCTAATGTTTCTTCATCGTGTTTGATCATGTTTAAAACCTTAAAGACCTGCTGCCAAGGAAGGTACATAAGTGCCTCACTCAACAGCATAACTGCACCATTTGACACAGCAAAGCCAGCATTTTAACCATTAAGTCTGATATTAATGAAGTGATTTTGTGATTGAATACATACAAGCAGTGCCACTAATGTTGCTCATAAGAAAGTGCCTCATTTTTTCTTTTTTATACAAGGGATTTATCCACTGATGCCAAAGTTGTCAACTGTAACTTTGTGTAAGGACCTACTGCATCTCTTCTAGCCTTATTCATTCTACTGATGTCTCTCTTTTTAGATTGTTTTCATATATGAAGATTGTGTTTACTTTTCTATAGACCATAAATATATTATTGTATTTAACAGACACATGGTAGAAAATGATTTTTTCACTCACTGTCAGCAATGATCTTTTTCCTATGTGCCTCAAAGTCGACACTGGATTAACCTACTGTATTTCTGTCTTAATAACAATAATCCAGGAATAATTTTAGCTTGAATAAACATGGATCAAAGACACACTTTGCTTCTGCTGTGTTTGCTTTCTCAGCAGAAGTCAAGCGGCCGTCCGCAACATGAATAGTGTAACAACAAGCATCTACAGTTTTTATTCAGTGTGAGAGATTCAAATTTGTAAAACACAAATTGACAATGAACCAAGTATTTTAATAACTTTAAACAGCACCTTCACCTCACAGTTATCAGGTCATGTCATCCCAAAAACTGGCAAAAAAAACCCCATATTGTGTAAAGATAAAACCACGTGCCTGTAACCAGTGGCCCTTACACAATTGGCACCAGCTTACAGGTACATTAGTGTATTAACCCAAAGTCAATTCTCTAATGTTACTGTACTGTGGTGATGCAGATTTGGGATGTGAGCCATATTTCTGACAGCTGCTGCTGGAATGTATTACCTATACAATGACAGCTATATGGCCTGTAATGGGAGTTATTGTGCTGTTCAGTGCGAGGCCAGCTCATCTGACCCCCTGTATCATTGAGAGTGACTGTGCATCAGTGTCATTACTGCCAACAGCAGCAGTGACTGTGTGCAAACACAGGGAGGCAGCACCCGCCAGGCTTCCACCACCACAATACCATACTGATGAAAACAGCTGGTGAGAGTGTGTGCATAACACCCAGAGGCTATTGAGGATTACCCCCTCCCCAAACACATTCACACTCTTTTCTAATTCAGAATGGCAGAAAAGCTTTAATATGGGTTCCCAAAAGTGTGCAGGTGGGGGGGGGCATGCTCACAATGACAAATATCAGTTTACCTGTTTGCATTTTTTAGTGCAAAACATACAGTTAATTCATCCAAAAAAATATGCTTCTCAGTGTGCTATCTAACAAGCCGAAAGAAAATCAAATGGCAACTGGTCAGCTCACAGCTACAGACTACTAATTGGTTTCCACTGGGACTGCTAACAATGCATATTACGCCATTTCTCAGTTAGTGAAGTTCGCGGTGTAAAAACATCCCCTCTGTGTAACAGGCGCACATGGTGAACGAAACAACAGAAATCCATGCGTATCGTCATAATACCCCTTGAAGGTGCTCTCACAGCACACCTCGTGAAAGCTGAGTCATACCTGGCACAATGAGCCTGTGAGTGTTTTTTTTTTTCCCTCATAGGGGGGATTCAGCAGTTAACATTTCCATTGGAGTGAAAGTAGTTCAGCACATGGCAATTTTTACAGGGCGCTTTTCCAAGCAGCAGACATCTGTGGAATGCAAGTCGTCTGCCCTGCTCTTGACACAGCCGTTGCCTTTGCTTGTTGCCTGAGTTTGACTTTAAATAGATGACAGAAATTATGACAAGCCTTTGAACAACTAGTGTGTCCCACCCAATTGTGCCCTGTTGATGAAAACCATAATAAATCTCCCTCCTCTTTGCCAACCGTGCAAGCCTCCCTGCCTGTTCTGCTTGCTTACTGTGACAGCCCACATACAGGCTAACACAAGGGGTATGTTAATAATGCTAGTGCATGACATTTCCAAAATATCTCCTCCAATACTCTAAGCAGTTGTCCATTCGGTGCACATGTCACCCGTTGCACCTCGGCCTGTTGGTCCATCCAGCAGAGGTATGCTATTTTCAGTTCAGATGGGGGGGCTTGTATACCCTTCTCCTTCCACCTTTTTTTCTGGTAGGTGATGTGATTTCTGTGCCTACAGGACAAACAGACAACAGGGAGCTGTGCTATAGTTTGTCTGCAGCTGGTGACAGGAGGAGGGACATGCAGGCATTTGTTCCCAGGGTCACCCAAGGGCAGGGGAACCAAAGGGTACAGCAACCTCTGTGTGTACATCTAATTTTAGGTATAGTTTGTATAATTTTTAACTTAAACTTAGTCGACTGGGGACAGCTTAGGTGCTGAGGTTAACAGTTTGTTGGTTCTGATTTGGTTTCACAGCAATTACATTTATCATGAGCTCAAACAGTTCCTGTTTCACTGGGGTCAGGTGGATGTTACTGTTAGGTAAGTATCAGTTATGGTTAAGTTTAGCATTACCTACAAGGACATGAGTGTAAACCCCAGAGATAAACCCTGCATGGCTATCCAACTTGTCAAGACCACCCAAAGAGGTTGTAAGAGAAATTCAGGGGGTCAGGATGATTAATTATGATGATTAATTACTTTATTAGGAAGTAAACAATCCGGGATTTTGAAGGCTTTTCTTTAATTTTTGCGGCCTATGGTGCCTGATTTCACGTCAGCGTTTCTAAAATATCTCAATGCATGTTGCATTTTTGTATAAATCCTTAAAAACTATGGCAACTTGTTCTAGTGCATTGTTTGCACAGGGTAAATGTTAGGCATTTTCATCTCACATGTCTGCATGGTCTGCATCTTCACAACTAGAAACAAGGGAGTGAGTTTGGAGATGTTTTTGGATTTGGAACATTTTGCACATGAAACTACAACGATTGGTCACAAAAGTTGTGATTATAGGACAAAATTGTAAGGTTGTGCAGAAGTCATGGGGATTGGTTGAATTTGTGTTAATTGTTGCAACTTCTTGGAGGGACTGAACAATATTGTCTGCAACTCAAACTTATGTAGATTTTTTCAGACTATAGACAGCTATAATTTTTGCTTTTTTTCTTGTAAATGACTTCCTCCTCATGCCCCTCAAAATTATTCTTTAACTAACAAGCCATAATGGGGAGAGATATGCAACCTTTGACAAGGGGGCCACAAATAGACATTGCATTGTTTTAAAGGGTCACAAGCCAAAAAAGTACCAACAGCGACTGTATGTCAACATCCCTGAGTGTACACGACATAAAAAGCAATGGTGATGTCAGGGAAGCACCATGGGTAATTCTGTAGGGCCCTGAACCTTTATAGCTGTGACTTTCAGACAGCTAACCCTGTGCTAAACATAATCTAAACATAATCTGCTCTGTATGTATGCTGTGCATTCGGAGCGCCTCTGCTGCAGGCAGACGTGTCAGGTCATTTCATTTTCATCCAAGGCCTCTGGTGTTTACATTTTGTATGTGTGTGTGTTGGGGGGTGGGGGGCAAATGTAATCTCGAGTCTGTAGATGGCAGCAACACTCTTGGCCAATCTGTCTCAATAAAACGGAAAAAAGTGTTTTGTCTCAGCAGTCAAGGGCTGCCAACTGAAATTGAAATTAATTGGAAAAATCCTGCGTGAAGAGAAAAAAAATCCACAGTAATTTTGAAATAAATCCACTCGCTACCAACAGGAGTTGCTTCACTGTCTTCACTCGTGTACCTGTGCACATACACAGGCCAAATGTATGCATAGTCACACTTTATATACAGTCTTATCGTTTATTAGAATCCACAACATGCAAAAGCGGATTGTAGTAGCAGTATGATTAATGCAGAGTAACAGCTTCTACTTCACCCACATGATGATCATGACTCTGGGTCAGGGATGAGCCTCATTATGCAGCAGAAGAAGCCACATAAAATGTCAGTTTTATTCTGCTCACTTGGTCAAACTAAAAATTCACTTGCTGAACATGACTGATTATATTTGGCTATTTACAGTAATCAACAGTGCTGACTTCACATTTTTTCAGTTGTGTATGTAAAAGGAGGGCGCTGATTATGTAAGTCATTTACATTTCCTCCAATTTGAGAGTGACTGGCTCAGCGAAGTGAGAGACTTTGAGCCTCGGTAGCTTTCAAGCTCCCCTCAGACTAATACTGAAGAGCTGTGTGAAATAAAACCTCTCACTGAGCTGCCTCTCAGCTTTTAGGAGATGTCACCGGTGCATCTGTTGAAAGAAGGAGCGGCTATAGGGACGCACATCAGGGTAAAGCTCCTGTGTGCTGACAAGAGGCTCACATGTGGCTCTTATCCCTCCGCATGCAGATACAGTACCGTACACCACAAACGTCACTTCGTCTGTCACTCACTTGCTCACTCGGGCTTACTTCAGCCCTCGTTCGCTCCCTGAAGCGTAGCGCCTTGAACATCTGGCTCGCCATCCTCTTCCTCTTCTGGGTCACATCCCATTCAGGCAGAGGAGATTCTGAGTCCTTAGGTGTCTAGGCCCTCTCCAAGGTGGTTTGACCGGCTGGCTTTTGATCTTCCTCTAGGGCTCTGGAGTGTATCTGTTTGAGAGGGGTCGGGGTGTGTCCGCAGGGATGGCAACAGGGTTGCAGCTGTAGATGTGGATTTAGAAGGCCATGGCATGGATGTGATGAAAAACAACCCAATTTGTATGTTTTGCCACCCGACCGTGTGTAACATTATCTTGTGAACACCTAAGAAACACTTAACATACAATGTGTGTTTGGGAAAGATGTGCACAGACACAATACGGTAAATGCTTCTGTGCATAAGAGAAACAGAGTTCTACATTAAGGCTGTGAATTGAAAAGACATAGTTTTAAATTCCAAGTGAAGCCTTGGCAGAAAAGAGCACATGTTGAGTTTGAACCTCTCCCGTGAGATATTAATTTGACCATCATATTAGATTAAGCCGTTACTTCTTTGAGAAATAAAAAGGCTACGAATTAAAAGGATGACATGGTTTTATTTGATTTCCCACTGAAACCTAGACAGGAGGGAGAATATGTTCATTTTCAACTTTCCTAAAGCCAATTCAAACTAAGTAATTTCTTTGCAGAAGGTCTGACAAAACAAATATCTCAATTAAAACCATGTAAGAGGTAATGAATTAAAAGGATGACATGGTTTTAACCAGCAGAATAAGAAGTAGTCAGATCATTGCTGCAATCAATGCATCATCCAAAATGTAGGTGATCGTATCATATTACAATTAATGATCGTAGTTGTTGTCATTTTTGTTTTGTTTGGCAAATTCCTGGTGAAAGCCTGCAAATATTTGACTCGATGTGCTCTGTTGAAGCTTCTGAATAGACTTCTTCCCATTTGTGAATGAGAATTTTTTTTTTTTGTCCAAGTTTTGTTGGAAGTGGGCATATGTGCACAGATGATTGTATGACATAGTTCATAGTTTAGATATACTACCTGTAAATGAAGAGTTTTATTTTTTTTTA